GTAATAAGGGAATTCAGGAGAAAATTAATTAACTATATTCAAATTCAAACCTTTTTTTAAATTAAACAACTTATAAAAGTATTTTGCTATAAAACATGAAGAAATCGATTGCTCCGAGTCGAAGACTCGGAGTGATCGATTTCTTCATTTTTTTATAATAATTAAAGATGATCGAGAGATAAAATCATTATTTTATATTATACACTGAAAAAAAATTTATTTCATTCAAGTAACCGATTAATTGACTATTAGCAATTAAATATTTACTTGAATCAAATAATATTTATTGGAGTCAATTAAGTGGTATTTGAACTAATAATAATTTCAGTATTTGAAGCAAATACCTTTTAATTGATTCTAATAAATCATAGTAAAACGTGAAGTGTTAAAATAACACCAGAGTGGATTAAAATAATCTGCAATAGTTTAATCCCTCTAGGATTAAATTAACACCAGAAAGAATTAAAATAATATGTTCTGGTGTTATTTTTAACTATGAATGAAATTTTACTTTAAATAAAACACCAAAGTCAACGATTTGTAAAAATTCAACGAATTCAGCTTCTTCAGGGAGAATAGTAAGTTAGCTATTAACTTAGTTACTAACTTACTAACTAACTTAGTAAAATAGTTACTAAATTCAATTGTGTTCAAAAATTTTTAAAAATTCTCGTCAAAATTTCACTTCTCTTTATAAATAATAAAATTTTTCTCTGATATTCAATAATTTTACAAAATTTTAATCAAATTCATATCAAAATTTCAATTATTTTCAAAAGTTCTCTAAAATTCAATGATTTTCAATATCTACTATTAAAATAAAATTTTACAAAAGAATTCCATTATTAAAAAAAATTTGAATAAAATTCTAAGCAAACATTCAATTATTTTCATGAATAGTAAAAATTTTTACAGAAATTCAATTATTTACAAATTTTTTTTATAAATTTCTTCGCAATAATTCAATTATTTTCATAAATAATATTTTTACAGGGATTTAATTATTTTTATAAATAATAAAATTCTTTTAGGAATTCAATTATTTTCATAAATAATAAAAATCATTGCATAATTTCAATGATTTTTAATGCAATTTTAAACGAATTCCTCGAAAAATGTAATTATTCTTAAAAATTTTATTAAAATTCGTCTAAAGAATTTAATGATTTAGAAAATTTGTTGATAACATTTTTTATGAAAATTTAATTTCAAGAAAAATGAAATTAATAAATGATTTATTTTTGTATTTAAATAATTGAATTCTCGTAGAATTTACTAATAAAAATGGTTTTTCATTTCATAAAAATGAATTTCAGTTAAAACTTTAGATTATAATTAAATATTAAAAGCATTATAACGTGGATTTTTATAAATAATTAAATTTTGAAAAAGTTGCAAACTAAAATCATTGAAATTCTTAATTTTTCATATTTTTGACAAAAAATTCTGTAGAATTAATTCTTTTTTAAAGTTTACCAGGATTTTTATTGAAATTATTTCAAGTTTTTATTTTCCAATAAATATTTCATTGCAGAATTTTCGAATAATTGAAATTTTGTAAAATTGAATTGTAAACGAATGAATTTGAAAATTCTCATAAAACTCATCGCAGCATTTCAATTATTTTTCATACAATTATAATTGAATTCCTTGAAAAAAGTAATTATGTTCATGAAAGTTTTAATAAAATTCAACAAAAAGAATTCAATTATATAAAAATTTGTTACTAAAATTCTTTATGACAATTGAATTTTGAGAAACATTAAATTATTCAATAAATAATTTACTTTTGCATTTAAATAATTAAATTCTTGTAGAATTTTCTATAGTAAAAATTGATTTTGATTTCATAAAAATGAATTTCAGTTGAAATTTTAGATTATAATTAAATATTAAAAGCAATAGAGCGTGAATTTTTAGAAATAATTGAATTTTGAAATTAATTTTTTTGAAAAAGTTTAATTGAATTTTCTTTTATATTATTTGAAGGTTTTATTTTCTAATATGCATTTAATTAAAGAATTTAGGAATAATTGCGCGAAATTGAATATTGTAAACAAATGGATTTGAAAATTGACAAAGAACTTTTTCGAAAATTATTAAAAATAATTGATATAAAGTAAAATTGTAGTTAAAAATTTTTGAAAATAATAATTGAATTGAAATAATGAAAATAATTTTGAAGAAGTATAATATTCTTATAATATAAAATAATGATTTTATTACTTGGTCATCTTTAATTATTATAAAATATGAAGAAATCGATGACTCCGAGTCGAAGACTCGGAGTTATCGATATCTTCATGTTTTATAGTTATAAAAAAATGTAATAAACTAACATTTCATTCATTATAAAAAATAACACCAAAATTGATTATTTTAATCTTTTTTAGTGTTAATTTAATCTGCAACACTTTTTAATACCTCACGATTTACTGTGATATTATTTGATTCAATTAAATATTTAATTGATAATAGTCAATTAATCGGTTATTTGAATCAAATAAATTTTTTTCAGTGTAAAAATATTGTTACTGTAACTTCTACAAAATTATTTTCATATTCAATTATTATCTAAAATTTTAACTAAAATTGAATTTTATGAAATGAAAATCAGTTTTTATTAGAAAATTTTATGAGAATTGAATTATTTAAATACAAAAGTAAATTATTTATTGAATAATTGAATGTTTCTTAAAATTTAATTCTTATAAAGAATTTTATTAACAAATTTTTGAATAATTGAATTCTTTTGACGAATTTAAAAAAATGTTTAAAAATAATTGCATTTTTTAAGGAACTTGATTAAAATTGTATTAAAAATAATTGGAATTCTTCGATGAGTTTTCTTATTTTTAAAAATAATTAAATTTTATTGAGAAAAAATTATAAAAAATTTGTAAATAATTGAATTCCTGTGAAATTTTTATTATTTATGAAAATAATTAAATGTTTGCGTACAATTTTATAAAAAAAATTTTTTTAAATATTTGATTTCTTTTGGGTAGTCTTATTAAAATAGTAGATACATTAATAATCATTGAAATAAGGAAACTTTTTTTAAAAGTAATTGAAATTTTGACAAGAATTTTTATAAAATTTTTCAAAATAATTGAATTTTAAAGAAGAATTTTATTATTTATAATTTATAAAGTTAATTGGGATTTTGACAAATTTGTCTTCAATTTTGAACATAATTTTTCTATAAATAAATTATTTTTAATAATTAATTAAATATATATTGACAAATTTAACTAATTTTAGAAGATTTTAAATTATTAATTTTTTTTTTAAATTCAAGTTCTTTTAAATTTTTAATTAAATTCATTTAAAATTAAAATTTTATAAAATTTCAAATTGAAACCGTTTGAAGTTCACTTATTTATAGAAATTATAAACCCAACTCTTTTAAAATTGAATTAGTTTTGAAATATTTAAGTAAAATTATTCATTAAATAATTTATTTATTTTATGATATAGTTGTTCTAGATTTAAGTTATTTAAGAAGAAATGTTTGTCAGAAATTAAAAAAAATTGAAGGTTTTGTATTATTATTTGTGGTAATTGCATAGTTTTATTAGGCAAACAAAAAAGACACAAAAATTCAGAATTTTCTTATATATTCTAAAAATTTAATTTTTTTCAATACTTTTAATAAGAATCCCTGACTTTTCCCGGAATTTCCTGTGTCAGAATATATGATACTATAGTTTTAATAATATTAAAACTATATTCCAATTCAAATTTTATTTTTATGAAAATAAATTTGAATTGAATATTTTTACGTTCTATTGTTTTTAAAATTGCAAATTTTATATTTAAAAAAGTGAGTAAAATGTTTCTAGGAAAATATTAATTTTACTAAGTAGTCTGTCTATAGTCAGTCTTTATTATTTTATCTTATCATTCAAAATTCGATTCTTGTAAATCTAATTTCAAAAAAATTAACTTTAATTTAAGTAGTAAAATAAAAATTCGGCTATAGACAAAATGTTTAAAAAATATTTTTCTCTATTCAAGTAGTGCAAATCAATTATTTTCAGTAGTGTAAATAAAATTATAGTCAGACATAATTTGTTTCCTGTTATGAAAACTAGAAACCTAATAACTAACTAATGACCAGTAAACTTTTTGTAAAAAGAAGAAGTGAACTAGTTAATTTTTTATATAAGTTTAAGTAGTGCAAATGCGTCTGCAGTCTGACTTTGTTATTATTATTTATATTATCTAAAATATAATATTCTAAACGATACTATACATTACAAATTAGTGTAAATTGAAATTAAGCAATAAAATACAAATTTGGTCAGACTTGTAAAAAAAAATTTTTTATTGAAGTTTAAGTAGTATATGTCGGTCTACAGTCAGACTTTATTATTCATTCAAGTATTTAATCAGTAGTATAACTTTCTTTTCGTCAGACTAAACTTTCACTTTCTACAATAATTTTCAGTAGTGCGAATAAAATTTCGTCAGACATAATTTTTTTCTCGTCTCTTATCAGTAGTAAAGAATATATTTTTAGTGAGAAGAAATTATTAAAATTACTGTAATTTTAATAACATGTAGTAAATCTAATAATACTAAAAAATAAAATGAAAAATCATTTTGTCTGACTAAAAATAACATTTACTACTGTTGCAAAAGCACACCAATTTTAATAAAACTGACTGAATAAATAAATAAATTGAAAACATGAACTAAACGATGATCGATAAGGAGAGTCTTCTACTTTCAGTTTACTCAAGCAGTAAACTAAATATAAAAAATAAAAAAAACGTCAAGTAAGAAAATTGCAAAAATTGCTCGTAAAATTTGAAAAAATATTCACACGAGGGTCATTTTTATAATGCACAACAATGTTCGTATCTTGTTTAGACATTTTTTTTCTCCTGTTTTCTCTTCACTACTTCTTCTTTTTTTTCTATCTTTATGCCGTTAAGGGGTTTTCCTTTTTTTTTACGAGCGCATTTACGTGTCATTTTGTTTGGAATATTCAGGTGAGAATCCAGGGGACTACAGGGAACTTGGTTATGGCGGAACCGAAGGAGCTGGAGTTGCTGCGAATGGGTCGTTGGTGATCCCAAGGGTATCTCGAGAGCACAGTGGCTCTTACCTATGCAAGGCAACCAACGGCATCGGTCCTGGTCTCAGCAAACTCATTCAGCTAACAGTTCATGGTAAAATATTTACGATACTATATATATACACTCTATCATATATATATGACTATATGACTATATAATGTATACTGCTTGCAAATAAGGGGATAAAAAGTCTTGTGGTCCCATCTGTTCCCAATAATATTATATAATATAAAACGCGACACATCAAATTTCAAACTACTCCACTGTTGTCGTATCTTCAATGTTGTTGCAACAAAATTGAAAAATCTATCTTTACACATACCTCAGGGGAAGCTCCAGGCACGTACAGACTTTATCGTGGAAAAATTCCCGCACTACAAAAAAATATACCAAAAAAAAAATATTCTGGATCTTTTTTAAATGTTAATTTTGGAATTTATAGATTTTTTGATTTTTCGACAATTTTCCTAATAAGATTAATAAGATTAAAATTTTGTTAAATTTTATGTTTTGTCAAATTGAAATTTTACAGATTTTTGTTCTTTACTTCTAAACAAAAATGGAAAATTGATAAACATTTGTGATTAAGAAATGGAAAATTTATTTATTTTGCATTATTTTTGTTTATGAATCACAATTTTTTTTAACAAAATTATTATTTGGATTTAGAAAAAGAAGAAATTTGCACAATTCCTATTTTTAATCTTATTTTTGGAACAGGATTATCCACAGAAATTAAGACATTCAAAAATTTTTAATTCAAACCTTTTTTTAGTTAAACAACTTATAACAATACAAAATGACCGAGAGATAAAATCCTTATTTTATATTATAAAAATATTGTTGCTGTAACTTCATCAAAATTATTTTCATCATTTTAATTCAATTATTATTTTCTAGAATTTTACATTATTTTTTATGAAAATAATCATTGAATTAAAAAAAATTATTATTTATCAAAATAATTGAATTCTTGTAAAATTTTTATTATTTATGAAAATAATAAAATGTTTGCATACAATTTTATTAAAAAAAATTTTAAATAATTGAATTCTTTTTGGGAAATTCTATTAAATAGTGGATATTGAAAATGATTGAAATTAGAAAAATGCATTTTATTTTTGAAAATAATTTAAGTTAAGACAAGAATAATTTTTTTTTTTAAATTGAATTTCTGCAATTATTTGTAATTTCTTCAAAATTGAATTTTTTTAGTGTTTTCAACCAAAAATTTTAATTAGAAAATTTTAAATTCTATTATTTTTAATATTGTTAATTTTATTTTAAAAAAAAGGTAGAAAGAAGTTATCCGCGCGCTTTAGCGCTCGAATTGTTGCTGGTTCTTTAAAAAATACGATTATATTTCAAAATAATTTTTAAAAGTAAAGAAATGAAATTCATTAAAATATAAAATTTATTTTAATTAAATTTGACAAAATTTTTAATTGTTTCGATTTTTTAAAATTATTTTCGGAAATACAATTATTTTTAAAAATTTTTAATTACATTTTTTCAAAAGAAACAATTTTTTGAAATTTCTGAATTTATTCAAAACTCGAATACTTTTTGTTGCACAAAAATTTAAAAACTTATTCTTATTTATTTTTCCACAGGAATTAAAATTTCAAATAATTTCAATGAAAAACCTCGTGAAATTTAATTATTTCTAAAAATTGCAACTGTAATTTTTCCAAAATTTAATTCTTTTTTTTAGAATTTTTAAATTAAATTATTCAAAACATTAAGAATTTTTAAAGAAAAATAATTTTTTAAAATAAAAATTTAAATATTTTTATACTTTTGTTTCTCTTAAATTTTCAAGGAATTTAATTTAAAAACCTTTTAAAATTTAAATAATTCCTAAAATTCCTGTTATATAACGTTTTAAATATTCAATTATTTTTTAAAATTTTAACTGAAAATTGTTTTAAATAAATTACTATCAGAATAAAATTCTTTCAAATAAAAAATTTTACAAAATTTCCAATTGTTTTAATTTTTAAAAATTATTTTCGGAAATTTAAGTATATCTTAAAAAATTTTAATCACTATTTTTCAAAAACATAATTTTTTCGGAATTTCCAAAATAAATTTTTCAAATTTCAATCATTTTTTAAAAATAAATATTTAAATACTAATTGTTCTTTATTTGCAAAAAATTTCGAAATACTTTCAATATATAAAACCATTGGAAAAATTTTTTACCAAAATTTTAATTTTATATTTGAAAGAATTTCATTTTACTTCTTTTAAAAATTTTATTGATATAATGGTATTTTTGAAGAATTATATTTTAAAAAATTATATTTTTGAAAAATAATATTTAAATATATTATAATAATTTTATTTATTTACATTATTAATCGAAATTTATTAACATGTTATTTCTATATTTATTTGTTTATTTAATTATTTATTTTTGATTCATTTACTTATTCATTTATTTACTATATTTTTTGGTTTTTTACCTATTTTTGTAATTTTTTGTAATTTTCAATTTTTTAAATTGTGAAATTAATGAAATTAATCAAATTAATCAAATTAATCAAATTAATAAAATAATAAATAAAATGAAATAAAAAATATAAAATGAAAAAGAAATCAAATTTGCTGAAATTTTTTCTACTGACAAGAGAGAAAAAATAAACTAAAAAGTAGGGAAAATTGTATTTTTCTTTTAGATATAAAAGTGGAATGAGTGGAAAAAAAGGAAGGGGGAGATTTGAAAAGAAAATTAAATTTAATGAAACTTTTGAGAAGCATATATATATAGATACATATAGAGTGCGTTTTCTTAGATTGCAAGTGAGGGTATATATCTCTCTCTCGACCCCTTTTACAGTAAATTTCACCATCTTCATAGAAACGTCATATGAATACTTGAATATACGTGCTATCTACTCTATGTACTCACATTTGTTTCACGTACTTATGCGGTTGCATTCAGCACGTCGCACAAGTCATAGCAGTACCGCACACCAGAAATTCTACACCAAGATCTGAATACAAACAGGGCACTACATATTCCTCACGTTTGCAATATAATAATAATAATTACAAATCAAGGCGAAAAAGAAAATTTCTCAACAAAAAAAATTCCCATTATTTGTAGTTTAAATTTTTTTTTAAATTAAATTTATTTACGAATTTCTTTTAAATTATTCAAAAACATCAATAACTTATTTTTTAAATAAATATTTAATTATTAATTTTCCATAAGAACTAAAATTTTTAAAAATTTCAAATTCAAATATTTAAAAAATTAAACAACTTATAAATAATTCTTATAAAACATGAAGAAATCGATCACTCTGAGTCTTCGACTCGGAGCAATCGATATCTTCATGTTTTATAATAATTAAAATTGCCCGACTGATAAAATCATTAATTTATATTTTAAGAATATTGTTACTGTAACTTATTCAAAATTACTTTCATCACTTAAATTCAATTATTATTTTCTAGAATTTTTAATTATTTTTCATGAAAATAATTCAAATCCTTAAAAAGAATTTTATTAGGTATTTATTAAAATAATGGAATTATTGCGAATAAATTTATAAAAAAAATTTGTAAATAATTGAATTCCTGTGAAATTTTTATAATTTACGAAAATAATTGAATGATTGTGTACAATTTTATTAATTTTTTTTTAAATAATAAAAAAATAATAGAAAAAATAAATTTTTCAATAAATAATAATTAAACCGATTATTCGATTCATTTAAGTACTTTTTTTGCTCTAAAAAATACTTATTATGATTAAAAATTATTTTTGTGTCTCATTGCAAATAAAAAAAAATACAAATAAAATATTTGTCGAAACGTTAAAGTTGATCCGAGCCCTGTAATTATAATAATTATTATAGTAATAACATTAATAATAACAATGATAATAATTATAATAATAATAATATTAATAATAACAATAATAATAAAATAATAATTGTAATAACAATTGTATTTGTATTTTATAATTACAATTGTTTTTCTAATTGTAATAATTGTAATAACAATCGTCATTGTAATTTTAATAATTAAAATAACAATTAGAAAAATAATATTGATAGTGTTATATTCAAATAGAAATTAACTTTTTCCTGAGGAATCGTTTGGAAACTTGAATTTTTTTAATCAAGGGGAATATTAATCAGAGTTTGAAATTCTTTCTTCAAGTTATAATTCTTTGGTTTTGTGCATAAATTACAATTTGAAATGATTAATGAAGAAGGTTCCGTGAACAGATTATTTGTAAAATGTCTAAAGCAGCAATTACCGAAGAGATGAAATTGTTTTTTTAATATTGAAAAAACTAGCTTTAGAGTGAATAATTAAAATTATTAGTCAAAGAAAAATGGGAAAACTAAAAACTAAAGATAAAATCTGTAAATAATAAAAGAAGCAAAAATAAATAATAAATAAAATAAATATTAATCTTCTCATGTGATGAGAATATACAAAAATAAATAAGAAAAGGAAAACATTTTTTAAAAGTAATAATAAAAATAATACAAAAATTATTAAAAAGGAAAATAATAATAGCAAAATAATACGTTTTTTTCAATATTGTGCAATAAGGAAAAATATTTTCCTCTTAAAAATTGTCACTCGTGTGTTAAGTAGCAAAGTTAATACTCAATTAAGGGAAGCTGTACATACATGTACAGAGAAAGAAGAATTGAAAAAGATTCAGAGAGCCTTCGAGCAAACCCTTGAGGGACGAGGTATTAAAGTCGTTGCTTTTCGAGTGGGTTGATTTATGTCAATACTTTTCCCGTATAAAGCCGGCCCCTTAAGAGACTTTTGCCGCAGTACAAGGCAAAATTTTATCGATCTATTTGTTTGTTTGTGTGTGTGAAACGTAATCTCTTAAAACAGCAGGACCATCGGTGACCGTACGAAGCACTGAGGAATCAGTGAGACGAGGTGAGAAAGTAACTTTGCGTTGTGAAGCCGAAGGAGATGCACCACTCGATCTCAGTTGGCGAACTCGTGGAAATACTGTTGGAAGTACTTATGACGATAGGTTTGTATTCAATTTACATCACTTTCCTTTTACATATATGCTTTCAATTTACGTACATATTAGGTGCAAATTCTCTACTTTGAAAAATTCAAAAAAGTTTGTTTAAATAAATTAAATTATTTAAACAAACTTTGTTGTTTTTAAAATTATACTTAAGAATAATTTTCAACTGTGTCGAAATTAAAAATTACAAACTTACATTTTTTTTCATTTATTACAAATTTATTTATTCAGGGCACTTTGTCTGACATGAGACTGACTTATTCCACTAGACTTTAGACTAAAGTAATTTTTACTTTTACATTTTTTAATTTCTGTAAAATTTCTTTATTTAAAATAACACTTTGTCTGACTTGAAACTGACTTACTCTACTGAAAATCGGAATTAAATGACTTTTACTTTTATTTTTTTCCAACTTACTTTATTTAGAATACATTGTCTGACTTGAAACTGACTTACTCTACTGAAAATCTGACTAAAATGATTTTTACTTTTATTTTTTTAATTCTCTCAAACTTTCTTTATTCAGAACACACTGTCTGACTTGAAACTGACGTATTCCACTAGATATTCAACTAAAATGATTTTTTCTCACATTTTTTCATTTTTAAAAAATTTATTTATTCAGAACACTTTGTTTGACATGAAATTTTCTTATTTCACTGGATATCAGACTGAAATGATTTTTACTTTAACCTTTTTTTTATTTTACAAAAGTTTCTTTATTTAGAATACATTGTCTGACTTAAAACTCACTTACTCTACTGAAAATCTGACTAAAATGATTTTTACTTTTATTTTTGTTAATTTTTTCACACTTGCTTTATTCAGAATACAATGTCTGACTTGAAACTGACGTATTCCACTAAATATTCAACTAAAATGATTTTTTCTCACATTTTTTCATTTTTTTTTTTTTTGAAAATTTATTTATTCAGAACACTTTGTCGGACATGAAACTGACTTATACTACTAGATATGTGACTTAAATTATTTTTCCATTGATTTTTTTATTTTCTCAATTTTTTTTTCCAAAACACGTTGTCTTAAAAACGAAACTAACTTATTTTAGTGAATATCTGACTAAAATGATTTTTACTTTAACCTTTTTTTTATTTTACAAAAGTTTCTTTATTCAGAATATATTGTCTGACTTGAAACTGACTTACTCTACTGATAATCTGACTAAAATGATTTTTATTTTTTTTCTTAATTTTTTCACACTTTCTTTATTTAGAATACACTGTCTGACTCGAAACTGACTTATTCCACTAGATATTTAACTAAAATGATTTTTTCTCCCATTTTTCATTTTTTAGAAAATTTATTTATTCAGAACACTTTGTCGGACATGAGACTGGACTTATACTACTAGATATGTGACTTAAATTATTTTTCCATTGATTTTTTTATTTTCTCAATTTTTTTTCCATAATACGTTGTTTTACACGAAACTAACTTATTTTAGTCAACAGCTGTCTAAAATAATTTTTACTTTCTTTCATTTCCCAATAATTTTTAAATTCAGAATACTTTGTCATAAAACTGACTGATTTCACTATGGATGTCTGCCTAAAATAATTTTCAATACTTGTTATTAATTTTATTGAATGTTATATTTTTGTCTGAATAAACTGTCTTTTATCACTGAATTATAAATACATAAATTTAAATGACAAATATAGAGAGTTCTCAATTTAAATTCCTGTCTGACCAAAAATACATTTCACTACTGAAAATTAAAAAAAATTAAAATACTTTCAGATTTTTAATGTAATTCTGAATGTTATTTTCAAAAATACTGTTGTTTGTCTAACTAGAAAGTGACTTATTTAACGAAATATTCGACTAAAATGATTTCTACTGCAATTTTTTTTTATTTTTTAAACATTTTTTTATTCAGAACACTTTGTCTGGCATGAAATTGAGTTATTTCAGTGAATATCTGACTAAAATAATTTTTACTTTTACTTTTTTGTAGTTTACAAAAATTTTTTTATTCAGAATACATTATCTGTCTCGAAACTGACCTACTCAACTAAAAAAATGACTAAAATGATATTTACTTTTATTTTATTAATTTTCTCAAACTTTCTTTATTCGTAATACACTGTCTGACTTGAAACTGACATATTCCACTAGATATTCGACTATAAAATGAATTTTTCTCTCATTTTTTCATTTTTCAAAATTTTATTTCATTTGGAACACTTTGTCTGACGTAAAACTGACTTACTTCACTTGCTATCAAACTAAAATGATTTTTACTTTTACCTTTTTTTAATTTCAAAAAATTTCTTTATTCAAAACAGTTTGTCTGACATGAGACTGACTTATTTCTCTAGTTGTCTGAATAAATTCATTTTTACTACTTGTATTAAATTTTTTAGAGTGTAATATTTTTTGACTGACCGAACTGTCTTTTATCACTTATTCAAAAAATTATAATTACTTAAATCTACAAGATAGAGAAAATTTAATGAGAAGAATTTTATTATTTCTCAAAATAATTTAATTTTTGTGAAAAATTTTATTAAAACATTTAAAACTATGCAAAATTAATGAATTATTTCGAAGATGTTTATTAAATATTTGGAAAACAGCAAATATTAACAATGTTAACAAGTGGTTTTTTTTTTAATTTTTCGTTTGAAAAAAAATAAAAGTTTTCAATAAAAGTAAAAAATTGAAGTCTATATTAAAAAATAGAAAAATTTTGTAATTTTCCTACAATCACACGTTTTACGTGCATAATGTTTGATGGTTAATTAAAAAATATTCTCAATAAATAAACATTGAAAATATTCAAAGATTTCATTAGAGAAAATTAGAATTTTACTACTTTTTCGTTTGAAAGGAAACTAGAAATTTTTATGTGACGATAGTAAAAATAAATTTATTCGTAAAAATGTGTGTCGAACAATTGCAATTGTTGGAGACATAAAGAGATGGGACAGTGTGGTTTTTCGCCAAGTGTAGATAATAAAATCGATTGAAATTGACGTGAATTATCGATCAAGTGATAAAAATTAAGTGAAAGTCTAGCTTGAAAAATATAAAAATTACGACATGAATAGTATAAGCCGTCATAAAAATGTCGATTTTACGTTCTATAACTGTATATATGTATATATATATATATATAGAAACGAAAAAGTATTTTCACATTTATTTTCCTGTTTTTCCATCGCTTCCTCGAAGCGATGCTATACAAGGAATGTAAGTGTCCATTTTATTGAATAGAAACCCATCTTTCCAATGTTCGCGCAGAGTCCATCATTTTCACAATGCCCACTACGAACACTACGAACGTCTTACACCAAAAATTATTGTATTCTCAACTTATCATCATTGTTAATAGATTTCATTTTTTATAAAGTTTCTCATCTTTCAGTAAAAATTGATATTTTTTAAAATACTTTTTCTTTTTTGTTTATTTTGCTTTTAATTTTAATGGTTTTTCTATTTTAGTTTTATTGTAAAAAATGCCTTTTTTTCTAATTTTTATTTTATAAAAGGTTTCTTCCCTTTTGATAAAAAATATTTTCAATTTCAAACTTGAAAGTTGATAGAATTGAAATTGAAATTAAAGAAAAATTCTTTATAACTTGAAGGGCAAAAGAATTTATATTTAAACAAAACTTTTGCAAACTCGAAAGTTAAGAGAATTGAAAATGAAATTAAGAAAAGATTTCTTTATACCTCTTGAAAAGTTAAAGATTTGAGATTAAAGTGAAAAAAAGTTTCCTTTTTGTTTATTTTGCTTCTCATGTTAAATATTGTTCTTTCCATTTTAATTTTAATGTTAATTTTTTTTATTTTGCTTTTATTGTTAAAAATTTCATTTTTTGTTTATTTTGCTCCTAATGATAAATATTGTGTTTGATTAAAAAAAATTGAAGTACCTATGAATGTCTAAATTTAAATATCAAATATTTTTAAATGAAATATAAAAAAATAGTGGTAAAATCCTTTTTTTCTCTGGTTTTGTGTGAATTTTACAGTTATTCAATTTAGTATTCATATGTTAAATTTCATGAATAATTATGGAAATTACTTTGTGGATTTAATTTAAGAGCATAGTTTCAACAGATTTTCTTCGTATGTTAAAAATTGCTGGGTACTTTTATGAAAAAAAAAAAATCTTTTTCTACGTTATATTCACAATATTATTTTGATTACTTTTACTAGTCTTAATATTTAATTGATATATTTAAATGTATAATATTAATTATTAATAAAATTAATTATAAATAAACTTGATTATTATTAAAAATATTAATTATAGTATTGTATGAATTTTTCAACTAAATTTACCTTCTGGTAAAAATCAATTACATATTTTTAACAAATTAAAATTCAGAAAATTTTCTTATGGTCAATAAATTAGAAAATTAAAGGGAAAAGAAATGTTATTACTTTTCTTGATAGTCCAGAGAGTAAGATTTCTTGAATCGATGAATACAAATTTGAAATCAGATATTTGGCCCGACATGTTGAAATTTGCATTTCTGATTTCAGATTTGTATTCAATGAGACTGAGAGTTTAGCGTAAATCTATAAATTTATTAACTTTTATGAAAAGGAAGGGAATTTTTTTTTCTACCACTTGGAATGGTACTTATTTGATAACATATTTTGCTTATTCGAGGAGCCACAAAAAACCGGTTTTTGTCTGACAAAAGTAATTTTTTCTTTCATTCTTTTTTTTCATTTTAAAAAAATTTATTTAGAATAATTTGTCAGACATGAAACTGACTTATTCTACTGGATTTTTGACAAAAATGATTTTTTACTTTTACCTTTTTTTTTATTTTACAAAAGTTTCTTTATTCTGTATACACTGTCTGACTTGAAACTAACTTACTCTACTGAAAATCTCACTGAAATAATTTTTTGACTTTCATTTTTTTAATTTTCTCAATTTATTCAGAATACACTGTCTGACTTGAAACTGACGTATTCCACTAAATATTCAACAAAAATGATTTTTTCTCACATTTTTTCAGTTTTGGGAAAATTTATTTATTCAGAACACTTTGTCTGACTTGAAACTGACACATTTCACTGAATTTCTTAGTAAAAAAATTTGCACTAATTATGTCAAATTTATTACAGTATATTTTCTGTCTGACAGAACTTTCTTTTATCACTTTGTCTAAAAATAATAATTACTTAAATCTAAATGTCTCTGTCTGATGTAAAAAATTCTGAATTTTAAACATGTCTGAGTAAAATTGTCTTTTGCCACTGGGAATAGAATAATTTAAAGTTAAGATGATTAATGTGATGAACTATTTTTGTTTGCCTGACAAGAAACTGACCTACTCTACTGAAAATCTGACAAAAATTTTGTTTACTTTTATTTTTATAACTTTCTAAAAATTTCTTTATTTATAATACATTGTCTGACATGAAACTGACTTCTTTCACTAGACGTCTGTCTTAAATTGGGTAAAGTGTCCTAATAATAATAGGAAAAACCTTTTTTAGTATTCTAAAAAAAAATTAAAAAAAACATGATTGATAATAAAATAAAATATATTACCTGATTGAAAATGAAATTTTTTATTTTATTATTTTTATTATATGATTATATTTATTATTAAAAATTAATTATTTTTATTATATATTTTTTTAATATTTATTTTTGAAATATTAATAAAAATAAAATTGGACGATTAAAATTTATTGTGATAATTATTTTTTTTTTGCAGGTACACAGTAAAAAATTCAGCGACCACACTTGGTTTATTATCCGAATTGTGTATAATTCAAGCCAGTCATGCCGATCGTGGGGAGTATGTGTGTTTCGCAAGAAACGCTTACGGTCATGATAAAGTATCCGTTCATCTACTTGTTCAAGAACCTCCGAATTTTCCTCGAAATTTACACGTGGTCGAACTGGGAAGTCGAGCGATAACTTTGGAATGGTCTACGCCGTCGAGTGTCGCAGATTCCTTGCATCCCGATTCTCCAATCTCAAAATATGTTGTCCAATATAAAGAAGCTCAAGGTACGTGACTTGAAATATATATTATATTTTTTTTCTTTTCTCTCTCTCTCTCTCTCTTTCTTTTATTTCTCATGTCTCTACAATTTTCATTGGTATTGTCCATATATTCATATATTGCCCAAGTTTCCAATAACGGGAACTTGTAGATTTTTATTATTTTATTATTTTCTTCCACTTTCTTTACTTGCAACTAAGAAATCAAATTAAATTTATTTTTATATTTACAGATCTTATTAAATTTTTTCTATGCGTACATGAATTCTATTATTGATTCATGGATTGAGAATATTTTCCTTTAGGGTAAAAAAATATTTTTTTCGAATTTATTCCTTTTTTAATTTTACTTTCTTATAGAGGAAGAATTGTAATATAAAATTTTATTAATAATCGAATGTCAGAAAAAAATTGTTAGTGAAAATTCGAGAATTACATTTTTAATGTTAATAAAAATAAAAAAATTCATTTTTCTATATTTGTTATTTAAAAAAAAAAGAGAAACGAAAAAAATCCAAAAACTAATAAAAAATTATTATTGAAAAATCAAAAACTCTCCACTTTTAATGTTAATAAAAATCTAGAAAAAAATCATTAATTCCCAATTTGGTTAGTATGAGAAGTTCTCAAAAGGGGAAAAAAAATATCAAAAGTAGCGAGTTGAATCGACAAAAAAAGGAAACAATAACGAGAAAAATGTAATGTGAAGAAGCGGTAAAATCAATTTTGAAACAAAGTGGATTGTTTGATTATTGAAAAATATGCCTCTCTTTTATTTCACTTCTTCACATTCTTCTGTTAGAACACAAAAAAATTCAATTTTGTATTCGTATGCTTTTTTATCGAAGAATTAAAGGAAAAAAAAGAAAAACATTTTTCATTTTCCTCTTCTCGTTATACTTTTGTTTTTTTATATACGTCTATGATTTGATAATTTTCTTCTTCTCTTTTTTTAATTAAAAAAAAAAACAGTGTACCTATTGAAATTTCTATTTTTATCTCATCGTAATCATGTAGTCAGCATTTTTCTTTTTACAAAATTTTTCTCCAATTTTTTAAAGTCCAATAAATCTGAATAGTTGCACTCGTTTTATAATATGTATATAGACTTGATGAAGCAATACATTATCGATATGTATATTTGCTATTTGAGGGTATTTTATTCATATTCTTATTTTTTTTTCTTTTTTTTTTAATATAGAAAATTTTTCCTTTCGGTACAATAAAACGTTTTCGTAAGCGATATTTACTTATATATAACGTTAGATATGAAATTTCTAGTTTATAGAGTAAAAAGTAAATAAGAGGAAATGAAATTTTTTCTATAAGTATTTTATAATATTCTATATGTTAATATATATATTATATATTACATTATTATTCTTATTATAATATTTTTTATCTTTTTGGTTTTTAAAAAAATAGAAATTATAAAAGACTATTTTTAGAAATTAAAATTTTAGTAATAAGAATATTTTTTGTAAATTTAACTAAATTAAAATTAGAAAATGTTTAAAAAATAAAGAATTATGAATTATATTTTAGCATCTTTAGACACAAAATTATAGTTGAAAAAATATTTTTTATCAATTTTTTTTTATATTTTATAAATTAGAAATAAAAAATATTTAGAATTTATATTTGAAAATTTTTGGAAATTGAATATTATTAGAAGAAATTTTTTTTATATTTTATAAATTAGAAATAAAAAATCTTTTGAAAATAAAAATTAAGAATTCATATTTGAAAATTTTTGGAAATTGAATATTATTAGAAGAAATTTTTTTTATAAATTTAAATAAATTATAAACAAAAAATGCAGGGAAAATAAATAAATAGAAATTGTACTTGAACATTTTTAGAAATTAAATTTTATTAGAAGAAAAATTTTCGATAAATTTTACTAAACTAGAAATAAGAAAATATTTCGAAAATAAAATAAAATAAAATAAAATAAAATAAATAATAGAAGTTATATTTTAGAAGAAATAATAATAAATTTTTTTTTTACAAAAAACATTTATTATTATTAATGATAAAATATTTTCGAATACAATTTTTTAAGAAACTTAGATGCGAATTTTTTCTTGCAGTTATTTATTTATTATTGGTCCATTAGTAATTACTAATTAGAAAAAAATTTGTAAAATACTTTAAAAAAAAAAGTGTAGCTACAGTTTCATTACTTCTTTCACATACAAAACTAATATATAAGAGAAAATTAATTTACTTTTTGAAAACGCATATACGGTTATAATATATGCTTTTTCTCTTTAACTTGGTAGTAATATATGAGAATTGACAAGCGGAAGACTGTCGCGTAACTAAATTTCACTTCGATTTCAGTTTCTATTCAGGAAACATGTATGATATACAGTGAAATAAGCCGAATGCGCTTTCAACCAACTGCATTTGATTAACTCCCTAAATGTATTCAAACTATCAAATTTACTGCTTCGTTTTTAAAGAATTTTTTATTTATTTAAAATTATTTTATTTGCAAAAATAAAACAGCCAATTTAGTAATTATTATAATTTAATTCGAAATTTTAGAAAAAAATAATGTCAATGAATATGTTGTGCATTTTTTTTTTTTTTGATCAAAAATCAGTTAAGCGGTTTTGAAGAGAAATTGTCGTAAAAAATATTTTATTTTTTAATTTTAACATTTTTTTAAATTAAAAATCTTTATCAGTGAATTTATTATTTATCATAAAGATAATTTTGCTATTAACACGAGATAATTTAATCTCATTATATATTTATTTTATACTATAATAATTATAGTGAAAAAATATTGAATTGCAAATTTTAATCACTTAAAATTTGTAAGAAAGTTCTATCTATTTTCGTACCTCGATTTTTTTTAGTTAAAATTTTTTTATATTCAAATTTTCCTTATCGAATTCATTTGTATTAAATTTTATTATGAATTTTTATTAATTTAAATTTTTTTGTATGTCAATTTTACTAATTTGGATGTTTTTGGATCAAATTTTTTATTGAACTTTTTGTATTTGAATTTTTACTAATTTCATTTCTTTTTTTTTGTAATTAAAAATTCCGTATCAAAGTCTTTTGGATCGAATTTTCTTGTATTTGAATTTTTATTATTAAGAATTTTTATTTATATTTAAATATTTCGCATCGAATTCTTGTGTATTAATTTTTTTCTATTAAATTTTTTTTCCTGAAATAAATAATCTACACTGTAAAATAAAAATAAATTCGAAGTTTTTTAAGCTTTGTATTGTGTTTGTACCGAAAAAGATGTGTGGCATGAACACAACACGCAGAAGCTGGTCGAGGGAGACAAGACGATCGCTTCGGTTTCCCCGCTAAAACCCGCGACAACCTACCACTTTCGGGTCTTTGCGGAAAATCATCTCGGAACATCAGCCCCAAGCGACATTCTTCATGTCAGTATCAATCGATCAAATCATTCATGACTCATCGTATTTATATATATGTAATATATTAAGATTAAAAATTGTTCTTTTCTTAATATTAATTAATAATTTTTTCCCTAATATTTAATAAGAATCAATAAATTCCTCTGATATTCAGGTTCAAACGCATGGAGAGGTTCCTGGCGGTCCACCGAGACAAGTTTCCATTAAACCAATTGGTCCTCAGCAGATGAAAATCAGTTGGAAACCACCGGATCGTTCTCTGTGGAATGGCGAATTACAGGGTTATGCGATTATCTTCACCAATTTGGGGTGAGTTCTAAAATAATGCTTCTTCTAAAAAATTTAATATTTAAAAAAAATACTAAATTAAATTTAAAAAATTAGCATTTCCGTTGGAACGCATCAATTTTAAAATTATCCGTTATATTGTCGCCATATTGGATCCGCCATTTTGAATTTTAAAAAACTGACTTCAAATTCGAATTTTACTATTTTAACTACTTTTACAACTTTTTTTACTGTTTTTACTATAAGAATAATACTTTTATTACATTAATAGAAATGGAAATACAAAAAATTATGACTTGAATAAAACTTGTAAAAAATTCTAAATCTTAAAAATTGTCTGACTTAAATTGACTTCTACTACTGAAAGAAGAGAATTTATATCCCGTCTGACTAAAATTGATCTTCTAGTACTAATAAAACGAATTCCTAGAATTAAAAATACTTAATGTGATAATAAATTACCTTTTCCAAAAATTTCTTATTTAAAAGAAATTTATTACGTTTATTTATCATTTTATTTCGTTTACAACGAAAATGACTTACACCACTGGATGTCTGACTAAAAACTTGTTTACCACTTACGTTAAATTTTATCATTCTTAAAATTTTTTTTCTATAACGAAATTCTCTTTTACTACTGATTCCAAATTTTGAGGATTATAATTAAATCGAAATTTCTGATAAAAAAAAAATGGTTTATTTTCAATCCGGCTGACTAAAACAGACTCTTACTACTGATTTCATAATTTTTGAAATTTAGATATTATTGTGATAATAAATCTTTTCTCTTAAAGTTTTTGTTGTTCGAAACGGTTTGTTTGACCCAAAACTGACCTATTCCACTGGATGTCTGACTAAAAACTTGTTTACCACTTGCATTAAATTTTTCCTGTCTTAAATTTTTTTATCTATAGCGAAACTCTCTTTTACTATATCGATTCATAAATTCAGGACTATTATTGAATCGAAATTTGTGAAAAAATTTTCTAAATTTCAAATCCGGCTGACTAAAACAGACTCTTACTACTTAAAAAAGGAATTCTAGAATTTAAGTTATTATTGCGTTAGTTTAAAATATTTATAATGATAATAAATCATTTTTTTTAAACTTCCTATTCTTTCTATTTTTTCACTTCAAAAATATTACAATTATTTAGATTCAAATATAAAAAAAATAGATTGTTGTCCTGTCTGACTAAAATTGACTTTTACTACTAATACAAGTATTTCTAGTATTTTTATTTAAATTTAAAATTTAACATTAGAAAATCGTTAGTTTCTATTAACGAATAAATTGTTTATACTAAAAACGCTTTGTCTGACTCTAACTGACTTATTCCACTGAATGTCTGACTGTAAACTTGTTTACTACTTGTATTACATTGTCCCTAATTTAATATAATGCGTCTGGCTCTTCTCTCCCTTACTACTTGTTCGAAAATAACAGAAAAAAAATTTATCACCCTAAGTTTTAAAAAAATAAATCATTTATTTTAAAGTTCGAGACTTTAGGGAAATGAAAAAATACAAAAAAATTTATTTTCTGCAATTATCCGAATTTTCACTCACTTGGATGTTTTTCTTTTCAAATATTTTTAATTTATAAACAAATGTACTGAAAATTATTAAATTCTTGCAAAGAATCTTTACAAACAATTTGTAGAGAATAATTGAATTCCTTCGACGAATTTTTTTTATTTATGAAAATAATTGAATTCTCGCGAAGAATTTTATTATTTATACAAATATAATTTAATTCTTACGAAGAATTTTACCATTTATAATAATAATTAAATTGTTCCGAATAATCTATTAAAATTAAGGGAAAAAAATTAATTTTATGTACCAAAATATTTGAAAATAATTAAATTTTTTCGAAGAATTCTATTAAAATTGTTTTGAAAAAAATTTAATTTCTGCAAAGAATTATACTATCATTATAAAAATAATTGAATTATTGCGAAGAATTTTACTATTTATCAAAATAATTTAAATGTTTCGAAGGATTTATTAAAGATTTTAGAAAAATAATTGAATTTATTCGAAACTGTGTTAAAATGTTTTTTTTTAAATAAATTCTTCTAAGTAATTCAATTAAAATTGTTTTGAAAATAATTGAATTCCTGCAAAGACTTTTACTATGTATTTATAAAAATAATTGAAATTTTGAGGGTTAATGGAAATTTTCGAAAATAATTGAATTCTTTTGAAATATTTTATAACGAATTAAGAAAAAAATGAAATTCTTTAGCGAAATTTTATTGAAAATAATTGAATTGTTTAGAAATTAAACTTTTAGAAAATATTTGAATTCTTTGGTAAAATTTTATTAAAAATTTGTTAAAAATAATAGAATTTTTGCAAAAAAATTTAACTATTTATTAAAATAATTGAATTCTTCCGAAGAATGTTATTATTTAAATAAAAATAATTTAATTTTTCAGAAGAATTTTATTGTTTATAGAAATAATTGAATGAAAATTCTTTAGCGAAATTTTATTGAAAATAATTTAATGGTTTAGAAGAATATATTTAAATTTTAGAAAATATTTGAATTCTTTTGTGAAAATTTATTAAAATTTTGTTAAAAATAATTGAATTTTTGCAAAAAGATTTATTGTTTATAGAAATAATTGAATTCTTTGGAAGAATTTTACAATGAATTGAGAAAAAAATAAAATTCTTTAGCGAAATTTTATTGAAAATAATTGAATTGTTTAGAAGGATTTATTAAACTTTTAGAAAATATTTGAATTCTTTTGTGAAATTTGATTAAAATTTTGTTTAAACTTTAAAATAATTGATTTTTTGTAAAACATTTGAACTATTTATTAAAATAATTGAATTCTTCCGAAGAATGTATTATGTTGTTATTATTATTGTATTAATGTTATTATTTATATATGTAAAAATAATTGAATTTTTGCGAAGAATTTTATTGTTTATAAGAATAATTAAATTCTTTGAAAGAATTTTATTGAAATTTTAAAAATAATTAAAATTTTGCGAAGAATTTTATTGCGTATAAAAATAATTGAATTTTTGCTAACAATTATACTGTTTATAAAAATAATTGAACTCTTCTGAAGAATGTTATTATTTATATAAAAATAATTGAATTCTTGCGAAGAATTATATTAAAATTTTTGAAAATTTAAAGAATAATAATTAATTTTGTATTTAATAAGTGAACTTTTGAAACATTGATTATGAAATTGTTTAAAAATTTATTATTGAAAATAAAAAATTTTGTAATTTGTTTAACAATAATAAATTGAATGTCACGTTCCGCGCGTGTATCATTTGCTAGTTTATTTATAAATTAAAAAAATTTTAAACATTTGAAAATTAAAAAAAAAATTTTTAATTTAAAAAAAATTTAAAAATAGGAAGTAAAAATATTATTGAAACGAAACTTTAATAAGAGCGCAAACAACGTTTATTTTTTGCAGAAGTGATGAACAACCGGCAAATGAGACACGAATTAGAATCACAGTTAATGGAGAAGAGCCATACGAATATCGGCTAACGGGTCTGCGAAAATACACGCAATATAGTGTGGTGGTGAAGGCGTTCAATAGCAAGGGCGATGGGCCAGGTTCAGATCCAATGATAGCGCAAACTCTCGAGGATGGTGAGTACAATTTCTTCTTGGTAATAGAGAAACGTTTTCCTCTCTTGCCTTTCCATCTCTACTTGTAAATTCCATCGTTCCCCATTTCATTGTAACCACCCCCACCCCCCCTCCTTCCCCCAACTCTCTTCCTCGATACTCTCACTATACCCTCTTTCCATTCGATCTCGTGTGACGTTTTTGCATTAAACGAAATTGCCACTCCGAGCTCACTCAGTTTCCATAACATTTATTATTTAAGATTCGAATCTCAACCTTACATTTTACACGGAAATTCCACGTAATCACTCATTTGGAAAATTCCGAACAGACTTCTCATTTATTATTTTATCTTCCTCACACTTTCAGAAATGTGAGAAATTAGTTTCTATGGTTAATGTCGAAAAGAGGGATTTAAATTTTTTTTTTTTATTTTAATGCTAAAAAAAATCTTTTATACTAATAATGGTTGCAATCAGATCTGTTCCTAAACTTTTTTTTTTGAAATTTAATGAAAATTTATTATTTTTTAAAAAATATAATTTTTCAAAATACAATTCTTTAAAAAGTACAATAATATTTACAAACAGTTTCTAAAACGAGTAAAATTAAATTGTAAATTCTTTAAAAAATATAAAATTTATCCCAATAAAATTTGACAAGACTTTAAATATGTTTCAATTTTTTATATTATTAAATTATTTTCGTGAATTGAATTAATTTCAAAAAAAAATTCTAATTACAATTTTTTGAAAACCTAATTTTTTTTTAATTTCTACATTAAATTATTCAAAACTCCAATTTAAAAACCTCTTAAAATTTATTTATTTCTTAAAATTTCCTGTTATAAAGCTTATAATATTCATTTTTTTTTTAAATTTTAACAGAAATTATTTTTTAAATCAATTCTTGTTAAAATTCAACCATAATTATTTGAATACAAAAATTTTTCTAAATTATTTTCCAAATTTTTAGTCACAATTCTTAAAAAAAATTCAATAATAATTAAAAAGAATATCTAACACTAGTTAAATTAAATTCTTTCAAGTATAAACTTTATCATAAAATTTGACCAAACTTTTAACTGTTTCAATTTTTAAAATTATTTTCCGGAATTCAATTATCTTCAAAGAAAAGTTTAATTTTAATTATTCAAAAAACTAATTTATTTAGAATTTCTACATTAAATTATTTCAAAACTTCAATAATTTTAATAAAAAATATTTTTAAAAAAGTCAATAAAAAAGTCAATTAATTTAAAAATAAATTTTTAAAGCTAAAAAATATATTAATATTTTTTTTCAATAAACATTTAAATATTATTATACTTTAAAGGCGATTAAAATCTTAAAAAGATTTTAATTTAAAAATCTTTTAAAATCTAAATATTTCTTGAAATTCCTGTTATAAAGCTTCTAATTTTCAATTATTATTTTTCAAAATTTTAACTAAAAGTTTTTTTTTAAATAAATGTTTATTTAAATTTAACGATAATTGAATTATTATATACAAAAATTTTTGTAAAATTTAATTATTTTCCAAATTTTAAGTGACAATTTTTCAAAAAAATACAATAATATTTAAAAATAATTTTTTGAAGTGAGAAAATAATATTCTTTGAAATATAAAATTTTGAAATTCCTGTTGTAACGCTTCAAATTTTCAATTATTTTTCAAAATTTTAACTAAAATTCTTTTTTAAACAACTTTTTATTTAAATTGAACGATAATTGAATTATTAAATACAAAAACTTTTGTAAAATTTAATTATTTTCCAAATTTGTAGTTACAATTCTTCAAAAAAAATACAATAATATTTAAAAATAATTTTTTAAAGTGAGAAAATAATATTCTTTGAAATATAAAATTTATTTGAATGAAATTTGAGAAAATTTCCTATTTATTCGATTTTTTAAAATTATTTTCGAGAATTCAACTATGTTAAAAAAATTTGAATTACAATTTTTTAAAAACATTATTTTTTCAGAATTTCTAAACGAAATTTTCAAATTTCATTAATTTTTGTTTAATAAATATTTTAATACTTATTTTTATTTATCTGTCCACCGGAAATTAAAATTTCAAAATACTTTCAATGTAAAACCTTTTGAAATTTAATTATTTCGAAAAAAAATAGAACTGCAATTCTTACAGTTCTTGTAATATTTTCTAAAATTTTAACTGAAATTCTTTTTCGAATTAATTCCTAATTCCTATCAAAAAATTCTACGTGAATTCAATTATTTAAATACAAAAATAAGTTATAAAATATTAAATAATTGATTATTTCTTAAAATTGCAACTGTAACTCTAGTTATTGTTTTTTTTAATTAGAGAAAGAAAATTTGTAGATTATTATTTAAGAATTTGAATATATTTAATATTTTTTAATACGTTGGATAAAATTTCCTTATTATAAAATTATTTATTTCTCTATCCTGTGAAAATCCTGTTATTGTCAAAATTTCAGAAGGATTAATTTCACTAAAACACTAATCACTCTATTTATAAATTAATTAATTGTCAAACTTGTGACATGACAATTTGATCTGTAAAAATGATTTCGAATCAAAAAGTCCTAATTTCACGTGAGGACAGAATATCTTAATTAATATTGGATAATAATTTTTTAAAAAAAAATTAAAAAATTTTTTTAATTGAAATCTTTTGAGAAATTTTACTAAAATTTTATGTATATCGAAAATAATTTAATTCCTGCGAAGAATTTTATTATTTATAAGAATAGTATAATTTTTTAATAGAATCTGATTTTTCTTTATTTACTAAATTCATGAATCTGTTATCTATTTTTTTCTTGAAATAAATATTTTTCTTTATTTCTAAATAGAAATGTGTGTAAAGTAAAGTTTCTATAAAAGTGAACAGGAGTTTAAAGAGTAAAATAGAAAAAGTTAGAGTTCGATTGTGTAATTAATTTACTTTAAAGAAGACGAGGAGGTTTTTTTTTTTTGATAAAATGAGATTTTTATTTAAAAAATGTTCGCGTAAAAGAAAATTCATTTACGGTTCTAATATTTTTATTTTGTCCAAGTAAAAGTTTCGGTTGAATATAAACTGAATGAAAGCTTTCAAATGAGCATGGTTTAAAATCTAAATACAACTTTCTTTTTTTTTTAATTCAGAAAATTAAGTTAAAACTCATACTCGTATTAATTCCGTTTTTCTGAAAGTTGAAATCAAGCGATAATTATTAATTAAGAGGGACAATTATTTCGAAACCGAGTGGAAAATTTTTGAGGCAAACGATATAGCGAAATATTGAATTAAATATTGAAAATATTTATTATTCTAAATTACTAACAAATTAATAATAATAACACATTAATTAGGTATTATGTAATGGATAATAGTAAAATTATTAGCTAAAATAAATTATTTACATTACCTTAAATTTTGCCGTGAATAATAATTATTTTAATTGTAGTTTTTGATACATAATATATTTTTAATAATAATTAAAATTAATTGTCTATGAATAATAACTATTTTAATTTTTTATGTATAATTTTTAATAAAAAAAAATTTTTTTTAAGTAAAAAATTACTCTAGAACTTAGTGAAATATGAACTTTTAAAAAATTGTATGTGAGAAAATAATTTCTGAAACTTTTTATCTCTAAAACAAAATCACTTTGGAATTATGCTTTTTTAAATAATAAAGGAACAACTTAAAGAAAGTACGCTAAGTGGTAGATTAATAATTTTTGAAGAAATCTCCATTCTAGGGTTTCTTGTTGAATAAAAAACAGAAAAGGATAAAAATTACTCCCTAAAAGCGTTGGGTAGTCACATCAACTTTACAACGCATCAATCTACTAGCTTTTCCCGTGTGTTTTCTCTTGATCATCAGTCAGTTTAAGAGTACTCTTTTTTTCTTTTTTTTTTTTTTTTTTTTGAAAAAAAGCAATGAAAAAAATGAAGTAGGAGACTCCGTGCAAGTGTTCACTTGGCTTATGTTAAGTCTTTCTAACAAATGTTGAAATCCTCCTTTAAAGTCCAGAAGTTTCTCAAGCGCGCTCGAGAGTATCATTGGAAATTCTGTGAAAGTGAAATATATTTTGCAAACTCTCTGTCTCTTACTGTATATATGTTTATATATAGATATAGTATGTGAGGATGGTCCTCTAAGAGAAAAGTTTTTCGAAAATGTGCTCTGACTACCCAAAAAATTTTTTTAAATTCATGAATTTAAATTAAATTAAGAATAAAAAGATTAGAGAGTTTCAACTTTTTTTTTTGTCTTTTTAAATAATTAAATTTCAAGTTTAAACTCAAGTTTCATTTCATATTTTGATTTTTCAAAATTTTTGTATTGATTTTTAATTTAAAATTTACTTAGACCAAAATTAAATTAATTTTAAATTGCATTACTTGAAATTTTCATTTATTTATTTAAAAATTATTAAATAAATAAATAAATAATAATAAATACTATAAATAATACATTTTATTGGTTGAAATTGATTAAAAAACAATTTAAATTTAAATTCATTTTGACTTTAATTTACCTTTATGTCAATTAATTCAGAATTCAATTTATCAAAATTTTAATCTACTTCAAAAATAATTTGAAATTTATTTATTATTAATTTATTTATTATTTATAATCATAATTATTATAATTTTTTATTTATTACTAATTTATTTTCAAACAAATTTCAATTTAATTATATTTTATTCCATTTAATTTAATTAATCCAAAGCTTCAATTTTCAAGTTATTGTATACTTTTTATCAATTTTAATTTTTGTACCTATCAAAACAAAAAATTTTAATTGATTTTAATTAAATTTAACTAAATTTGAAATTAGATAAATTTCAGTTAATTTTAATTTTTATCAAACACAAAATCAATAGAGATTGAAAATTACTAAAATTAGTATTATCAATATTAATAATATTATTAAAATTTCTGTCCATCTAATTAATTCAATTTTTGGTTCAAATACAGTAAAATTAGTTCCAATTGATTTTAATTTGGTTCAAAAAAATTTTGTTTGATTAAAAACAATTTTATTTGGTTCCAATCAATTTTATTTGTTACAATTAATTAATCCTGATTATAGTCAATCTGAATTAGGTTTAAATCTATTTTATTTGGTTCAAAATTCAAATTAATAAAATTTTTGGTTTAATTCAAGTAAAATTAGTTTTAATTTATTTTAATTTGGTTTCAATTAGTTTTGTTTGGTTTCAATGAATTTTATTTGGCTTTAATCAATATTTTTTGGTTCGAATAAATTTTTATTGTTGCAATTAATTAATAATATTTAAAAACTGCTTTAAATACTTTCAATTAACTTTTTTTTTCCATAGACAGATTTTTTCGTTCAAAATTATTTTATTGGTTCAAATTTGTTTTTTTTATATTTTAAAACCTATTTTATTTGGTTTTAATTACATTAATTTAAGGTCCTAATATAGTAAAATTATTTCCAATTATAGTTAATTTGATTCCAATAATTATTTTTTGTTCCTAATCAATTTTATGTTTGATGCAATAAATTAATTATTATTATAGTTAAAAAGCGCTTGAATCTCCAATCAATTGTATTTTATCCACATTATATATTTTTCGGTTCAAAACTGTTTTATTTGAATCATAACTATTTTATTTTGCTCATTTCTCTCATATTTGGTTTGAATTCCTTTTTTTTGTTTCAAATTTACTTTATTTAATTCAGATCTATGTTATTTGGTTTCAATTAATATAATTACTTCCTCATAAAGGAAGTATTGTAATACCAAAATTTTTCGAGTTCGATTTTTTTGACATATCTTTATGTTATTTGACCTCAGGAGTTCAAAAATGACATTTTTAAAAAATGTAATTCCGTATGTGTGTGTGTGTAAACATCACATTTTCATAAATATCTCGAAATCATGAAAAGCTTTTGGGTTGATTTTTTTTTTAAATTATAGATCTCACCTGCGGACATAAAGTGAGAGTACTTTCTGATATATTAATAAAGTTTAACTAAATTTTTTTTTTATTTTTAATTTTGCAAAAAAACGTTTTTTGCCCATAACTTTAAAAAAATGTTAGGACACCTATAAATATTTTTCCATAATTTTGTAGATTTTTTTAGACGCATCTTTTGAGCCCTAATTGAACATTTTTCGTCCATATTAACCGGAGTTATTAAACTTTTAAAAATCAAAAATTTTGGAAAATAAGACTTTTTTGAAAATTTTGTTGAAAAACGTAGAAGTAACTTTAAAATTATCGTTATCAATTTGTAGAGCATTAAAAAACGCTTCGATTGACCTATTTTTGAACCTAATTCGATAATAAATTTCGAAATTATTGGTATTTTAAAAACCAAAAATTGTGAAAAATGACATTTTCTCAACTTTTTTGTTTGAAAATTTTTGTTTAACTATTAAATTATTGTAAATTTGTAACTATCTTGTAGGGTATTTAAAAATAAATCGATTGACCCAAAATTCAATCACTTTTACCATATTTATAAAAAGTTATTCATATATTTCTATTATTTTTATCTCTATGAGGAAGTAAAGTGTTCATGAAATGAGCACCAAAATTATAAAAAAATATACAACTTGGCAGCGGTTTTTTAGTTCAAATTAAATAAAATTAGTTTCAAATTCATTCTAATATTTGACTCAACACAATTTAGTTTGGTTCTTAATTAATTATTTTTGACACCAATTAATTTTATTTGGTTTCAATGAATATTTTTTGAATTCTAATCTTATTTTTTATTACAATTAAATTTATTATAGTTAAAAACCACTTGAATTAGTTACAATTAACAGTATTTGGTTTACAGATAGTTTTTCGGTTCAAAAATAATTTTATTTGGTTCAATTGGATCTTATTTGATGCAAATGAATTTTATTTGGTTCAGATCTATTTTATTTAGTTCAAAGACTTATTTTATTTTTGTTCCAATAAAAATTTTAGTTTTTGGTTATAATCCAGTAAAATGATTTAAAATTGAAGTTAGTTTGGTTCAAGTTAATTTTATTTGCTCCACATTTTGGTATCAATTTGATACTTTCAAGAAAATTGTGCGCTAATGAAAGAGTACGGATTCGTTTACTTTTTGAATTAGAATACAATTTTGACTAATTTTTAGTAAAAAAAAAAAAAAGTAGAGTAAATGAAAAACATTGTTTTTCGGTAAATTTCCAATATGAGAGAAGATGACACGTATAATATAGGGGAGAGTGGGGCAAAATGGGGTACCTTTTTGAAATTGTTTGTTTACAGAGGACCAAACGAATAAATCGATTCAGCTAAACTTCAGAATTCTTCTTTGTACACTTAGCTTTGAGGAAATTATGATAATAGCGGAGAAAAAAATTTTTGAAAGAACTTATATCGTATTTTCTGAGAAAGTGCTAACATCCCATTTTGCCCCACCCGTGGGGCAAAATGGGGTGGCATCAAATAACTATACAAAACATTGAGTATTTTTTCAAAATTCATTAAATTCTTGTTGTATGAGATTATAAATACAAACAAAAAGTAGGATTCTTTATTACTATGAAAAAACAAGTAATATTTATTGGAATTTAACAAAAAAACATCTATATTGCGAAATATCGATATATCGATAATGAAACATCGATGGTATAAATTTCCAAACAAAAATATTGATTCTTCTGCAGGAAACCTTTAAATATGCATAATATAATGTTTTTAAATAGTTTTAATGAAGCGGCGTAGCTTCCGGCATGCCCCACACTTAGGTACCCCATTCTGCCCCACACTGCATATTAAAACAAAATGCAATGTTTACAAGTTATTGTAAACAATTAAACAATCTATTCTATTGGAAATTACTCTAGAATAAGTACTGAAAAAGATACCACACTTGCCAAATTAAATGCATTATCCCAAAAAGTTTGGTAAGCACTTTAATTTTGAAAAAAATTCATATTTTTTTTGCTTAAAACTTAAAAGTTGTATAACTTTCAAAAAAAAATTTTCTTTGGAGTGTCTTCATAATTAATAACAGTTTCTTATCAACATGAATGATATATGTCGAGGATAAAAAAATTAAAAGTACCTATCATGGAAAAACAAAGGTACCCCATTTGACCCGCCTACCCCATTTTGCCCCACTCTCCCCTAATTGAGTATAGGATTGAATTTAGTATGCTGAGTGAGCTTATACAGGAGTTTACACAAAGAGAGATTGAGAGAGTGAGAGAGATAAAGTAAAAGATGCTTAACCTGACGCAGTTCCCAGTTCACCACCACAAAATGTGGCGTGTACAGCGTTGAATGGACAGAACATACAGGTCACATGGAAGCCACCACCGGCTGACAAAGTTCACGGTATAGTCGTTGGCTACAAGGTGGTGTATGAAGCAACGAACGGAGCAATGGAGATAGACTTGCAGGGATCACCGGAAACAAGAATCACTCAAGCCTTGAGCGCAGTCCTTCACGGTCTTAATCCCTACACCAACTACACGGTCCAAGTTTTAGCATCTACACGAGCTGGAGATGGAGTTAGCAGTATTCCAGTATCCTGCACTACTGAAGAAGATGGTAAGTTGTAGATTATAGGGGGGGATATATATATATATTCAAACACAAGTCTATATATATAGAAGTGTGTGTCTGCTTGTTATTTTCAAGGGGGAAAGTATAGACGATGTCATATATGCATTAATATAACTTTCAAGCTTATACTCCTCAGCTTGACCCTTGCGTTCTTGTACAATGAACAGAAACACCATTTCAAACAAGAAGTTTCATCACGACCCTTGTTATTATACTGTTATACATAATAGCATAATATTGACCGAATTATATATGCGGGATTACTTTGTTGTATATAGAAGGTAGGTGGGGGGAGGTGTTTGAATTTTGAGAGATTAACTTACAATTTATATTCACATGACTTTAGTGAATTGATTATAAAGCAAAAATTTATACATAACTTTTAGAAGATAATTTCATAAAATTCTACTGTCTGACTAGAGGGAATTTATACTACTTGGATTTTAGAACTAAATTACAACAATTTGGCACTTTTTACCCCTCTGAATTTTTGAAAATTTTTTTGAGTTTGAATTTTGAGAGATTAACTTAGAATTTATAGTCGCAGGACTTTATAGTGAATTGATTATAAGACAAAAATTTACACATAACTTTTAGAAGATAATTTATTTATTTATTTATATAATTTCATAAAATTCTACTGTCTGACTAGAGGTAATTTATACTACTTGGATTTTAGAACTAAATTATAATAATTTAGCACTTTTTACCCCTCTGAGATAAAAAAAAAACTATTTTTACTACTTACAATGTATGTCTGACTGACAGTGACTTTTACTACTTGAATCAATAATATAAGTGGTTATTTGAGAATTGTATGGAAATCCAGTCTGACAGAAACTTACCTGCTCTACTTATAATTATGAAATTACAGAAATACGAAACAAATTTGTCAGACTTAAGATAGTTTGTACTACTTAGGAGCTAAGTTATAAATTTATAATGTATACATTCCCAGCTGAAAAAGTTTTATAGAATTTCACTAGAATCATTCTATATGAATTCTAGTGAATATTCTACAGAATTTCACTAGAATGATTGTATAGAATTTCTACATGAACAGCATGTGATTGTTAGGTTCTCAATGGTAATTTTTTCGACCACTTTTCTCTTTCAATATTTAATAAATTGAGCTTAAATTTTGAACAAAAGTCTGAAATACAATAAAGAAGGGCAGCGATGTGCAAAAGTTTTAATATTTTCAAAATTAATTATTACAAATCACTTTAAAATGATTAGTTGTCACGGTCACTTCTAATCAATTTTTCGTCTTTACCGATTTCAAAGTGTTTTATTATCATTTTAATTTTTGATTTGTTAAAACTTTTGCACATCACTGCCCTTCTTTATTATAATTATTTTAGACTTTCTTACAAAATTTCAGCTCAATTTATTAAATATTTGAAGAAAAAAGTGGTCGAAAAATTATTCGTGAATTCTTTAATTAAACATATATTAGAAATTAAAAACTTTAAATAAAAAAAAAAAAATTCAATTATACAATTTGTCAAAAAATTTAATTTCAAAATTCAATTATTTCTAAAAATTCACGCCATATTGCTTTTAATATTCGTATTGTCTTAATAATTTAAACTGAAATTAATTTTTAAATCAATTTTTATTAGAAAATTCTACTAGAATTCAATTATTTAAATATAAAAATGAATAATTTATTTATTGAATATTTCTTAAAATTGAATTCTCATAAAGAATGTTATCAACATATTTTTAAATAATTGAATTCTTTCGACGATTTTTAATAAAATTTATAAGAACAATTATATTTCCCAAGAAATTCGATTAAAATTGTATTAAAAATAATTGAAATTCTGCATTGAGTTTTATTATTTATAAAAATAATTGAATTTCTAAAAATAATTTCATTATTTAAAAAAATAATTGAATCCTTGCTATCTAAATCTAAATTAGTAAAAATGTTTACTAATTTGAATTAGTTACTGACTTTTTGCTTTTGAATTAGAAAATTTTACTAATAAATTAGTAGAAATAACTATTTATTAGTAAAATTTACTAATTCAAAAGCAAAAAGTCAGTCACTATAATTCAAATTAGTAAATATTTTTACTAATTCAAATTTAGAGAGTTTAAAAATTTTATTATTTATAAAAATAATTAAATTATATTGCAAAGAAATTTATAAAAAATTTGTAAATAATTGAATTTCTGTGAAATCTTTTTTTTTATGAAAATAATTTAATGTTTACGTACAATTTTATAAAATTTTTTTTAAATACTTGAATTGTTTTGGAAAATTTTATTAAAATATTAGATATTAAAAATCATTGAATTATGTTAAAGTTTTGAAAATAATTGAATTTCGTAGAAGAATTTTATTATTTATAAAGATAATTGAAATTTTGATGAGAATTTTTAAAAATTTGTTAAACAGAATTGGATTTTTGCGAAGAATTTTATTACTTTTGAAAATAATTGAATTTCTACAATCATTTGTAATTTCTCTTAAATTCGCCAAATTATATCGTACAATTTACGAATATTTTGTTCTTTTTTAATCAAATTACGGACTTTAGGAACCTTTTTTTTTTTTTAATAAAACTGACTTTTACGAACTTAAAACAAATTTACGGATCTTTACGGGATTTACAGATCTGGTTCGAGCCCTGTAGTAACTATATACAATAATATAATTTATTATAATGTTAAAAAAATTAGCGAAAGTCAATTTTCGAACAAAAAATTATTTCATGAAATTTATATTCTTTCTAATTAAAAATCACTAAAATTTAGTAGAATTCATGTAGAAATTCTATAGAATATTCATCATAATTCATATAGAATGATTCTAGTGAAATTCTATAGAACTTTTTCAGCTGAGTTAACATTTAGTCTGACTCAGACTTGCTTCTACTACTGACAATGAGAGTAACAAATTTTTTCTAATATATAATATTTTTTTTAACAAAACTCTCTTTTGGTACTAATTTAAAAAAAATGAATTGTTTCAATCAAAATGTTTAGTTTTAAAAAAATTTTTATGTAATTGACACAAAAAAAACCATGTTCTAAATTTAAGAATATAATAATAAATTTTTTAAATAAAAAACAGTTTTTAAACTCAGAAATATTTTTATTTTAAGAAACTTTTTCCGATTTTAATAATATTATACTCTAGCTTCAAAAATAAAATACATGGAAAATTACTTAAATAGGAGCCAAAATTATATTCTTAAATTTAGAATACCGTTTTTACGGTGAAAGATAATGTTTAGAGTGATTATAAAATAGAAATTGACATTTTTCTCTATTTTAAACTTTGTCTGACTAAAACAGTTTATACTACTCAGAAAGGGAATCGCAAGTAATAATACTTAGTCTGGCTGAAAACTCCTTTCACTACTGATTCTATGAAAACAAAAAATTTAGGACAATTGTCACTTCTACTTTATAAATTACAATTTGTCTGACTAAAAACATTTTTATACTACTTAGCACCAAAATTACAAAAAGTAGGATTAATATTTAGTCTGACTGAAAATACTTTTACTACTAATTTTATGACAAAAAATTTTTGGGACACTTTATGATTGAAGCTATTATTAATTCTATCTAAAAAACTTACTATCTGTCTGACTAAAAACAGTTTTTACTACTTAGCACCAAAATTACAAGTATTAATATTTAGTCTCACTGAAAATACTTTTACTACTGATTTTAAAGCAACAAAATTTTTGGGACACTTTGGATGAAGCAATTATTACTTCTATCTAAAAAATATTACTATCTGTCTGACTAAAAACAGTTTATACACCAAAATTACAACAGTCTGACTGAGACTTGCTTTCACTATACTCATTTGAGAAAAATTTGAGAAAACCAGATAAAAATTTTTTTAGAAGATAAAAATTTGTCAACCATGTAAATTTTCTTTAACCAAAACGAAATTCAAAACCAAGCTTAACCAATATAAATTAATTGCAAAAAAATATATATTAACCTAGAACTAAATTATTTCAAACGAAATTAAAATCTTTTGCACATAAATTAAAACTAATTTCGTAAAGAGAAATTAAATTAAAATTATTAAACAAATAAATATTCATTTGGCTCCGAAAGACAAATATATATACATATATATATATCTTTTCACTGAAGCTGCTGTAATAATTCAGCATATATTTTTAGAGTTGCAAAAACAAAAATGCTTTTAACACTGGCAAAATTATTTTAAAAGATAAAATGCATGCAAATTTTACATAATAAGTATATGCATTTATGCACTACCATGAAACTCGGAAACACGATATTTATGTATAACGTTACAAGTTAAACATTAAATGTTTCAGTTTACAAACTTCATCTAGTTTGTAGGTTACGTCAACACACCTTTGTAAGCTCATTTTCCAGGAATTTATAATTTATGGCAAACTTGATGAATTCCCCCCTCTTTCACCGAAAAAAAAAAATTGAAAAACATTTTATTTTCCTGATTATTATTAAAATCTTTTTGGAAAGTGTAAGAGTTTACGGAATACTTGTGAAATTGCATTATTTTGCCATTTAAATAGTTTCGCTTAAATTGGTTTTACATGGATGAAATGGAAAATGTATTATTTCACTTGTTAGTAGTAACAGTTAATTTTCCTCAGACATTTAAAAAAAATCTATTTTTTACAGATTGTAGAAAAGTATTGCAAAATATTTCATTTCCTATTTTTAAAATTATTTTTCCAGTAATGAAAACTTTTCGAATTTTTTTTTTAATTTAAGAGGCAGGTTTTTTAATTTTAATTAATTGACTGTAAATTTCTAATAAAATTAACATTCAGTGGAGAAAATAAATTTTATTATGTTAAATAAAATTGAAATTTTCGTATAAGTAGAAATAATTAATTGAATTCAGACAAAGTGGTTTAAAATCGAAAAAGTCATTCAAGTATCAGTAGTGAAAGTCAATATTGGGTCAGACAATACAGTTTATATTTATTTAAAATATTTTAATACTGGAAATTTTAGTTTTAGTGAAAAAAAATTAAAATCAATATACAAAGTGCTTTAAAAAGGACAAATGCATTCAGGTATCAGTAGTGAAGATCAGCGTAAAGTCAGACTAAACAGTTAATAATTGAATTCATGCGAAGAATTTCATTATTATTTATTAAAATACTTGAAACCTTTTGAAATTAAATTTATTAAAAGTTTTAAAAGTAAATGGAATTCTTTAAAGAATTTTATTATTTACGAAAGTAATTGAATTATTATAAAGACTTCAATCAACATTTTTGAAAATAATTGAATTCTTCTGTAGAATTTTATTAAAATTTTTAAACTTAACTGAATTTTTGCATTTAAAGTTATTTAAAAAAAATTTGAAATAAATTACACAAAGTTATTTAATAACGACAAATTTATTCAGGTATCAGTAGTGAAGATCAGTGTAAAGTCAGACGAAGCAGTTTATAATTATTTAAAATACTTTTACTACTAAAAATCTTATATTGGTAATAAAAGTTTGTAAAAAAAACCCTACAATGTAATTTAATGACGAGCAAAAAAGAAGTATCAGTAGTGAATATCAATATTAGGTCAGACAAAATAATTAATAATTAATTAGAAAATTTTACTACTGAAAGTTTTAGTTGTTGGTAGCAAAAAGTACAAAAAAACACACAAAGTAATTTAATAATGAGAAAAAATTCAAGAATCAGTAGTGAATATCGATATTTAGTCAGACAAAACAGTTTATAATTATTTCAAATATTTTACTACTGAAAATTTTAATTGTTGATAACAAAAGTTGCAAAAAATACAAAAAGTGATTTAATAAATAAGAAAAACATTTGAGGATCAGTAGTGAAAGTCAATATTAAGTCAGACGAAACAGTTTATAATATATTTACTACTGAAAATCTTACTATTACTAGTAAAATTTAATATGAATTAGACAAAGTGATTTATTAACAAGAAATACATTTGAGAATAAGTAGAGAAAGTCAATGTTAAGTCAGACAAAATAGTTAATAATTTTATTTCAAATATTTTATTATTGAAAGTTTTGGTTCGAGTAAAACTTGCAAAAAAATACACAAAGTTATTTAATAATGACAAAAACATTCGAGTATCAGTAGTGAAAGTCAATATTAAGTCAGACAAAACAGTTTATAATATATTTACTACTGAAAATCTTACTATTAGTAGTAAAATTTAATATAAATTAGACAAAGTGATTTATTAACAAGAAATACATTTGAGAATAAGTAGAGAAAGTCAATGTTAAGTCAGACAAAATAGTAAATAATTTTATTTCAAATATTTTGCTATTGAAAGTTTTAGTTGTTGGTAAAAAAAGTGCAAAAAAAAACACCCATGTTATTGAATAATGAGAAAAATATTCGAGTATCAGTAGTGAAAGTCGATATTTAGTCAGACAAAACAGTTTATAATTATTTACGTAATATTTTACTTCTTAAAATTTCTGTATTAGTAGTGAAAATAAATATAAGTCAGACAAAAGGATTTAATAAGAGAAATACATTAGAATATCAGTAGTGAAAGTCAATATTAAGTCAGACAAAACAGATTATAATTATTTACAATTATTTAAAATATTTTACTACTTAAAAGCTTAGTATCAGTAGTAAAAATGAAATAAATGTTATTTTGTTAATAACATTAACCAAACAATGTTATTTAATAGCGAGAAATACTTTGAATTAATCGTAGATGATAAAATTTCATTGAATATAAAAAAGGAAAAGAAAATGAATCGATTAATAATTTCCTTATATTATTATACTAAATATTTATAGTTATGAAGTAATTAAAAAAAAAGTTCCTAAAATTGTTATGATGGTAATAAATGCGCACTTTAATTTGTATTTTTCTCTCTCTCTTTCTGACTCAAGTTCCTGGCGCGCCAGAAAGGGTAAAAGCAGTGGCTAATGCGGAGGATTCAGTGGTGATATCCTGGCTTCCTCCACGACGACCGAACGGAGTACTTACAAAATACACGGTTTTCATTCGAGTACTGGATCAGGGCCAAGAAGTAAAGATCATTAAAGACTCTCTGCCCGCGCACAACTTACACTATGATGCAACGGGACTCAAACTACGTGAATCGTACGAGGCATGGGTTACTGCCTCAACCAAAATGGGACAAGGACCCACCACCCCAGTCATCAAATTTAATCCAAGTGCCACAAGTTCGTATCACGTTCTCTATTATTATTAATTTTATCTCAATTTTAACCTTATTACCATTTCACTCTCACATACGCTAATTAAATCAATAATTATATCTTATTTTCATTTCATTTCAATTATTATTATTCAATTTTTATACTAATAACAAAGAGTCAATAGCAAGAAAAATTAATTACAATAACAATAATAATAATAAAATTAAATAATTTTAATCACGTTTTATTATTTATGTTATTTATTAATTTTCATTATCATTATTGAATTTGGAATAATTTACTTTTTGCATGCAACTTTATTAACATTCTTTAATAATTTAAAATATTTTGAAAATAAATAAATTTTAAATATTTAAAATTTTAAATAATTTAAATGTTTCATAGAATTTTATTAAAATTTATTAAAATAATTGAATTGATTCAAAGAATTTAATTAAAATTTTTGAAAATAATTGAATTCTTTTAAATTATATTATTTTTAATCAATTCAATCATTTTCATAAATTTTAATACAATAATTGAATTGATTCAAGGAATTTTTATTAAAATTTTTGAAAATAATTGAATTCTTTTGAATTTTATTATTTATAAACATTCAAAGGAATTCAATTATTTTCATAAATTTTAATAAAATAATTATGAATTGATTCAAAGAATTTTATTAAAATTTTTGAAAATAATTGAATTCTTTTGCTTTTATTATTTATAAAAATTCAAAGGAATTCAATTATTTTCAAAAATTTTAATAAAATTCTTTGAATCAATTCAATTATTTTCATAAATTTGAATAAAATAATTAAATTATTTTGAAGAATTTTATTAAAATCAATTCAATTATTTTCATAAATTTTAATAAAATAATTATGAGTTGATTCAAAGAATTTTATTAAAATTTTTGAAAATAATTGAATTCTTTTGCTTTTATTATTTATAAAAGTTATAATATTTGAGCGAAGAATTTTATAAAAATTTTTAAAAATATTTGAATAGCCTACTTTAGAAAATTTTTATTAAAATTGTATTGCAAATAATTAAATTCCTGAGAAGATTTTTACTGTTTATGAAAATAATTACATTATTATAACGAAATTAATCAAAAATTTATCAAATAATAAAATTATTTTGAAGAATTTTATTAAAATTTATGAAAATAATTGAATTTTATTATTTATGAAAATTATTAAATTTGTGCGAATTGTGAAAAGTGGTATTAATATTTATTAAAATAATTGAATTCTTTTGAAGTATTTTGTTACAATATTTGAAAATAATTAAATTCGTTTGAAGAATGTTATTATTTATGAAAATAGTGGAATTTTTTTGAAGAATTTTGATAAAATTTTTGAAAATAATTGAATTTGTTTGAAGAATTTCATTATTTATGAAAATTATGAAATTTATACGAAGAATTTTATAAAAAAAATTTTAAATAATTGAAGTTCATTAAAGAATTGTATTATACATGAAAATAATTGAATTCTTTTGAAGAATTGTATTGCAAATAATTAAATTCCTGAGAAAAATTGTACTATTTATGAAAATAATTGCATTATTATAACGAAATTAATGAAAAATTTTTCAAATTATTAAATTATTCCGAAGAATTTTATTAAAATTTATGAAAATAATTAAATTATTATGAAGAATTTTATCAAAATTTTTGAAAATAATTAGGTTTGTTGGAATAATTATACCAAAATTTATAGGAAGTAATTGAAGTCCTGAAAAAAAATTTATTATTATGAAAATAATTGAATTCTCGTGAGTTGTGAAAAATGTTATCAAAATTTTTGAATATAATTGAATTATTATGAAAAATATTATCAAAATTTTTGAAAATAATTGAATTATTATGAAAAATATTATCAAAATTTTTGAAAATAATTGTATTCCTAAAGAAAATTTTAGGTATTACTATGAAAATAATTGAATTCTTGTGAGTTGTGAAAAATTTTATTAAAATTTATAAAAATAATTGAAGTTCTTTGAAGAATTTTGTTAAAATTTTTGAAAATAATTTAATTTGTTTGAAGTATTTAATTATTTATGGAAATAATTGAATTCTTGCAGAGAAATTTTATTAAAATTGATTAAAGTAATTGGATTTTTACGAATTTTATTATTTATGAACATTTTTTAATTTCTGTGAAGGAATTTATAAAAATTTAATTTTTGTAAAGAATGTTGTTAAAATTTTGGGTAATAATTGAATTATTTTGGAAAATTTTATTAAAATATTTGAAAATAATAAATAGTACTTAATAAATTTATTAATTGATTAATTAAATAGTTGGATACTAATTTTTAAAATTTTTTTATATTTTCATTATTAATTAATTAATTAATTTATTTATTAATTAATTAATCAATTTATTTTAATAATATTCACAGCATAAAGTCAGTCAATTAGTTGAAAATTTATGTTTTGTAAAAATTATTAATATAAATTTAAAACAGAAATTATTAAACTAAAAATTATTGATTCACTTTTTCGAAGAGTAATTATCGAATAAAAATACTATTTTTTTTTTTTTGATGAGTTATGTATGTTGTATAATATTATCGATTTAATAATTAGTTTCAGCGGCAATTATCTCCTTTGGAGTTTCTGTGATAGTACCATGGAGGGTTGACGTGAACTTAGCCTGTCATACAGTGGGAGATCCAAAGCCAATTGTTGAATGGCGCTTGGGAGATTTGAAATTGCAGAAGCAACAACAAAGGTTAATTGAAATATTTTCATATTCATTACACTAAATTTACAATTAAACAACAAAAAAATATTTCAATAAGCAAAAATAGATACTTCATCGACAATTATACGTTATTTTATTCTACCAGAAATTTTTTAATTTAAAATTTAATTAAATTTAAACAAAATCTAATTATTTGTCATAATTAATTAAATTATCAATTGTTTATTAGTCCTTTCACTTTCGATTGAAAACAAAAAGAGTAAAAAAAGATAAAAGTAAATAAATATGAATCAAATATTAAAATAAATAATAATACCTAATTTTTCAATAATTTTTTTTATCTCTTTTAATCTTTTTTCGAAATTTTTGTTTGTTATACGAGACTTTTAATAATTTTAAATTTACCTCTACGAATAGCCAATTAAGTACGCTGTATTCGTTATTTTAAACATTCCAGACTCGATGTTGGATCCGATAATACTTTACTATTACGAAACGTTCAAAGGACTCAGGAAGGAAACTATTCTTGTCATGCGAGGAATTCACTGGGATCCGATGAAATCGTTTACAGTTTACACGTTCAAGGTATTTTTTAAAAAATAATGTATTTTAATAACAGAAAATTATTTCCCCCTCCTCTTTATAATAAAATTATGGTAAAACCATTTTTTTCCATCTCTAAATATATTCTCAATAATTCGCATATATATTAAAATTCAAAATTAAAATTGATTAATTAAAAATTAATTTTCTTTTGTTTAAAAAATATCTCTCTATAATTCGCAATGAGAAAATTAATAATTAAAATTGATCAATTAAAAATTAATTTATTTGATTATATAAGAAAATTTAACAGTAGCAAAAGTTTTGTAATTTCGTTATTAATTAATACGAACAAAATTAATATTAAATAATAGTTAATTAATATTATACAGTAATGTAAGGTATTGGTAGAAGTTTTCCGCTTGATATTGATTCGAAAAATATTTAATATTAAAAATGACATTAACTTTCGTACATTTTTTTCCGAATTTAAAATTTAATATAATTAGAAAAAAGCGGAAATAATATTAAAAATATTAAAAATAAAATAAATATTAAAAATTATAATTAATCTGAGGAAAAAAAATTGAGGAGAATAGTAATAAAATTTTCTTTCGATTTTGAATATTTTGTATTTAATTATTTAATGAGGATTTCATTCGGTATCAGTTGGCGTTTAATTAAATTAAAATAATTAGTATAAATGTATATATTCAATAATAATTGGTGCATGTATCGAAATAAAATGAGATTTATTTTTAATTTTGACATACAGTAGATAATTGATTAATTCGGTACAATTATATGTATACCTAAATATATACTGGAAATATTATACATCTCAATTTAATTTAAATTCTCCAATATTAGGGCTTTTTATTATTAAATTATTAATTAAATTCTATTGATCCGTTTTTTATTTAAGATTGTTATCAAATTAACAATTCTAATTGGATAAGGTATTTATTGTTGTAAATTTCCAAATTAACTGCATTATTATTACTAAAGTATTTTGTATAATATTTTTGTATAGTTTTTCTTATTTTTTTTTTGCCTTTTCATTTATTTTTCATTTATTTTATTTTTGGTTTATAATTTTATTTTTTATTTTAAATTTCGATTTTCTATTAGGTATAATTTTTATTTTTCCATTTTAGTTTAAGTATTTTATTTTATTTTTGATTATTTTCTTGATTTTACTTTTAAACTTAGTTTTTCGATTATAATTTTATTTTTGTTTTTTAATTCCGATTTATTATTTCGTCCTAATTTTTTTCGTAGTTTTAAATTTTATTTTTTACTTTAATTCCGGGTTTCTTTAATTTTATTTTGAATTTTGTTTTGTATTTAGTTTTCAATTTTGCTTCTAGTTCTTAAATTTCTTCTTAGCTTTTAATTTCGTTTTGATTTTTTAATTTTGCTTCTAGTATTTAATTTTATTATTTTGATTTTTAATTTCGATTTTTAATATTATAATTTTTATTTGTTAATTTTGGTTCCAGTTTTTAATTTTATTTTTTATTTTTAATTTCGTTTTTATATTTAGTTTTCTTTTTAGTTTTTAGTTTCGTTTTTATATTTTTTAATTTCTCATTTATTTTTTATTTTGTTTTAATTTTTTAATTTTGATTTTATTTTTTGATTTCGTTTCTATTTTACTTTATTTCGTTTTATTTTGTTTCTAGATTTTTATTTTATTTTTGTTTTTTAATTCCGATTTATTATTTCGTTTTTATTATTTTTTTTCGTAGTTTTAAATTTTATTTTTGCCTTTAATTCCAATTTTCTTCAATTTTATTTTTAATTTTGTTTTTAGTTTTCAATTTTGCTTCTAGTTCTTAAATTTGTTCATAGTTTTTTATCTCATTTTGATTTTTTAATTTTGTTTTAAGAATTTAATTTTATTATTTCGATTTTCAATTTCGATTGTCAATATTATTATTTTTATTTTTCAATTTTCGTTTTTCGTTTTTATATTCGTTTTTATATTTAGTTTTACTTTTAGTTTTTATTTTGGTTTTTATGTTTTAATTCCTGTTTTAATTTTGATTTTGTTTTTAGTTTTTAATTTTGATTTTATTTTTTTATTTCGTTTCTATTTTTCAACTTTGTTTCTAGATTCTGATTTTATTTTTGATTTTTAATTCCGATTTATTATTTCGTTTTTATTTTAGTTTTTATGTTTTAATTCCTCTTTTACTTTTATTTTGTTTTTAGTTTTTAATTTCGATTTTATTTTTTGATTTCGTTTCTATTTTTTAATATTGTTTCTAGTTTTTGAATTTAATTCTAGATGTTAATTTTGTTCTCATTTTTTAATTTTGTTTTTGTCTTTTACTTTTTTTTATAATTGAAAATTTTATTTTCAACTTTTAATTCTGATTTTTTTCAATTTTTTCTTTAATTTTTTATTTTGTAAAGTTCTTCATTTTATTATTTTGATTTTTAATTGCGATTTTTTTTAATGTATTTCGATTTTGCTATTCATTTTGGTTTAAGTTTTCAATTTTATTTTTAATTTTTAATCTTAATTTTATTTTTCAATTTTGGTTTGAATTTTTGATTTTTAATTCTGTTTCTTTTTTCGTTTTCATTTTTTAATTTTGTTTTTAGTTTTTTATTTTAATATGAAGATTGAATTGATCACTCGGCGGTATTTAATAATTAAGAATCAGAATTTATCGATCACTTCGAGTCAGGTGTGACCACCTGACTCGGAGTGATCGATAAATTCTGATTCTTAATTAGTTTTTTATTTTGTATTTATAGTTTTTGATTTAATTTTTAGTTTTTAATTTAATTTTTACTTTTTAATTTAATTATTAGTTTTTAATTTCGTCCTTATTTTTTATTAATATCGTAATCTTTTTCTGTTTTGCTTGTAGGCATATATTCATTTTATATTTTCGAAGCCATGAGTCATTGATTTTCGTGACCCACTGTAGGAAGTGAATTATTCTTTCAAAGACGACTTTACAGAATCCAAAAACAAAGGAGGTAAACTAAAAAGCGTTGCATAAGCAAACTGTGATGAGGCTCAAGGAAAGTAAAACTTGAATAAAGACTCAAGAAAAGCGCATCCTAATGAAAAACTTTATTCGCTCTTCTCTTTTATAGGAAACTTTTTCAATTCAAAATACTGAAATACTCCATCGAAACTTGTTGAAAACTACAAATCCGATGACTACATGTCCTTGGTCAATTGAGATGTATTTCAGTTCTTTCTAAACTTGCTATATTCGAATCGTATTGTATATATATATACACAACTGTATGTATTTAAAAAAGAAAAATGGTTCAAAGAACCGTAAAACGAGTCACGTTGCATAATCTCTTACTCTATGTGAGTGTGTGTGTATATATATACAATTCATGAACTAACAAACACAAAGTTCTCCACCGTTCAATGAGACCATTCTGTTTTGTCGTTGAAACTTGCAAGTTCTAATTGGTAAACTTTTCGCATAGTTCCACCAACGCCGCCCACTCTTCTCGCAACAGGAACGACCAACGACGCAGTTCAACTTCAATGGAAACAGGGAGATAATGGAGGCTCGCCGATTAAAGGATTTTTATTGGCTTATCGAAAAGAGTTTGCTGAATGGGAGGAGGTCATGCTTGATCGACGAGCGAGTACACATTTGTTGGAGGGACTACAATGCGGTACTAAGTATCAATTCACATTGGCGGCGTTTAATCGAATTGGCAGTGGGAGTGCGAGTGAAATTGAAAATGCAAGGACCAAGGGAACAAAACCATTGCCACCATCGAAACAACATCTAATTAAGGCTAATTTAACATCGGTTGTACTTGAACTCGCCTCTTGGCAGGATGGCGGTTGTCCTCTGCTCTATTTTGTCGTCGAGTACAGAAGATTCCTTGGAGACTGGCTCCTAGGTAATGAAAATAATTTTTCTTTATCATTTTCTTTTTTCTGCTCCAATTTTTTTTTTCTTTCTTTTTTTTATGAATATTTAACTTTTGGGTATTTAATCATTTTTGATTACCCACACGGAGAAAAATACAGAGTAACTTTTACTATTTACAATGTAGAAATAAAACTGTCTGGAAAAATGCAACTTGATAGTAGTTTTACTCCAAAAATAGTAAAAAAAAAAAATAACAAAATCAGAAAAAGTAAAATTGCGCTGAGAATTAGGGAAAAGTCAGGAAATTTTTTCAAAAGTATTGGTAAAATATATTCAAATTTCTGGAATTCATGAGAGAATTCTGGATTTTGGTGTTAAAAATATTTAGAAAGATTTATTTCTTCTTATAATTTTTTTATTTTATTTAGTTGAGTTATAAACTTTCAAAATCACTGAAAATTTTAATACCAAACCTTAAATTTTTTCTCTACTTCTGACAATAATTATTTTATAGAATATAAAATTGAATTTATTTTAAATAATTTAATTCTGTAAGAACTATTATGTAATTATTACTTATAAATTAATTAGAGGATATATTTTACTTAAAAATTCCAAAAATAATTGAATTTTAGAAGAGTTCAGTTTACAATATTTATATTGCATTTCAGAAGGTTCCAAATTGAAATTTTAGAAAATTTGAATTTTCAGTAATGTTGTTTAAAAATTATGAAAAAGTTACTTTTTTGACAAATTTTCATTCAAATTTTCTTTTTTCTTTTGAAATTAGTTAAATTATAAAAATACACATTTATTTGGAAAATTTTCGAAAAATTGAATTGAAAACAAGTGAGTTTTAGACGAGTTTTAAATATAAAATTAATTAAATACCTAATGAAATTCTCAAGGAACTGTTTTAAAAATTACTAAAAATGATTGTTTTAAAAAAGAATTTTAGTTTAAAATACGAGCAAATAATTGAATGTTAGAAGAGATTTAGTACAGAAATTTCTAGAAATAATTCAAAAAGATTTCAAATTGTACCTAATTTTCGAAAATTTGTACTTTAAATAGTTTTAATTAAAAATTCTAAAGATTTTACTTTTTTTGAAAAATTTTATACCAAATTCTTTTGTAATTATTTGAATTTTTTAATATTTTTAAAATTTAATTGAAAAATTGCCGAATAATTGAAATTTTGTAAAATTAAATACTAAACAAATTGTATTTCAGAAATATTTCAGATGAACTTATTTTTTTCTTTGAATAATTAAATTCTCCAGGAATTTTTTTAAAAATTGGTTAAAAAAATTGTTTTAGAGAAGAATTTTAATTTGAAATACTTAAAAATAATTGGATTTTAGAAGAGATATAATATAAATTTATAGAAATCATCCAAAAAGATTTCAAATTTTACCTAATTTTCGAAAATTTGAATTCAAAATTCTGAAGATTTTACTTTTTTTGAAAAATTTTATACAAAATTCTTTTGTAATTATTTGAATTTTTTAATATTTTTAAAATTTAATTGAAAACATTTCGAATAATTGAAGTTTAGTAAAATTAAATTGTAAACAATTGTATTTCAGAAATATTTTAGATTAACTTATTTTTTTCTTTGAATAATTAAATTCTTAAAAAAATTTTTTTTAAATTGTTTAAAAAAATTTTTTTAGAGAAAAAGGTATAAAAATTTATATTTTAATTCAAAAATTTCCATAATAATCTGATTATCGTATTTAATTCCAAACATGTGAATTTTAGATAAATTTAAAAACGAATTTTTTTATTTCCTTTTTATATATAATTATAATAATTGAATAATTTAATTCTAGAAGAACTTTTTTTAGAATTATCAAAAATAATTGATTTAAAGAATTTCAGTTAAAAATTCCAGAAAATAATTAAATTGAAATCTTAAATATAATTTTGAAGAAGTTACAATAGCAATTTTGATGAATTATTCAATTTTCAATGGTTGAGAATTTGAAATTTCTGAAAATCTTAATTCCTATTGAAAAATAATAATAATTAAAGATTCATCTAAAAAAACTATTCATTTTTTGTGATAAATTTTACGATTATTAAAGATATTCACAAATAAAATGTATTACAAAATAATCATTTTTTGAGAGAATCAGAATATTCTTTTGTGTCAGGAAAAATAGAAATAAAATAATAATAAAAACTAATACATAATAATAGTAAAAGATAGTAGTAAATAGTAAAAGTTTCGTTAAGTGAAAAAATTAAAAAATTTTAGTGTAAAAATTGAGAAAATTATTGAAAAATAAGAAAATTTCTCATTTTTTTCTTGCAGTAATGATTTTTTTCTTAACTCGTATATTAATGAGAATATTTCCATGTAAAATTGAAACCACTAATTTGATAATTTTCCAGTATCAAATAACGTACCGCCGCAAACGAGATTTCCAATAGTCAGTTTGGAAAGTGGAACGAGTTATGAATTGAGGATAACTGCTTATAACAATGCGGGTTCAATGCATGCGGAGTATTTATTTACAACTTTAACGTCAAACAGCAATACGAGAATGCAGGAAGTACCTTCATTGGATAATGGCGAGACACCATTATATCTTGATGCACAAGTACTAGCACCAAGTGTAATATCATTATTCGCTGTTATACTCGCCGTAGCCGGCGTATGCTTTTGCCTAAGAACACGTAAGTATTTTTTGTCCCTACTTAAAATCAATTTTCCTTTAACGTTGACAATTTTTATTTCTTTCTAAAGAATTTTTTTTCCCCCTTTCTTAAAATCAATTTTCCTTTACGTTGCCAATTTTTTTTCATTTTTTTTATTCTTTAAGAAAAAAATTATTATTTTTTTCGTAAAGAATAAAAAAAATGAAAAAAAAATTTTATTAAATATTAAAAATATTAAAAATAATTTATTATTGAAATAAATTTTACGACGTTAAACCTGACAATTTTTCTAATTGTTACTGGGAAAATCGTCAGTTTTGACGTTGTTAATTTTAATTAAAATAATTTATTAATTCTTTTATTTTTTATTCTTTATTTGTTCTTTATTTTTCTTTATTTCTTTATTCTTTATTCTTCGTTTGGTGTTTATTTTTTAGAATGCAGATAAAACAGTTATGAATATAATTTCTAATTGGTTAATTAAAAAGTGAAAGAAAAAAAAATTGTGGAAATAACGAGATCGTTGAGAAATACAATAAGTGTGGAGAAATGCAGAAGTAAAATCGAAAATTCACCCCTACGGAGCTATTCACTCCACTTGTCGCCCCATGGAGTATCTAAATATCGAGGAAGCGTACTCCAATTATACCGTAGAAAAGAATTCCAAACCGGATGCCTATCGGTATTCAAGAGCTCTGTCTAACACACACTGTACGTGAATTAATTCATCATTTGTGATTTCAACAAGCGCGTTAATGAGGCAGAGATTTACTCCAACACACACAAGTCCATTATATCACAAGTTCGATATTTTCTAGAAATTGGAAAAAAAAATTACTAATATCAGCGACTTATCATTTTCTATATTGTCTTTTTTTAATTTCCTTGCCGGTCTTTGTTTACAACTACTCAATCTAATAAACCAATTATTAATTTTCGACAAAATTTCAAATTTGTAACAAAGAATTTTATTTCAGAACTGTTGTTTTTCTTCTGTTTTTCAAATTGAACGAGAAAATTATTTAAGCAGCGAAATTAATCAAATTGAAACTATAAACATCATAATATTATTTATTTATGATAATAAAATAAGAATAATAATAATAAGAGAATATAAAAGGAGAAAAAAAAGTGAAGAAGTAAAAAAAGAAAGAAAAGTGAAATTTTTTGCACAGGATGAATAGAATCTAGGGTGCGATTTTTTTTTCTTACTCTGAAATAAAAAACGTAATAATTTTCAGATCCTGTCAGATCCGGTTCCACGAACGATTCAAATGCACAAAATCAGGCAGCCCTTGAGAATAAGCATAATATGGAGCAAAGGGAGCAATATTATGCGACGGTGAGAAAACCAGGTCAACAGTCACCCTGTCGTGAGGTGAGCGCACTGGAACGTATACCAGAATATTCTGAAGATATTTATCCGTACGCTACATTTCATCTGCCCGAGCAGGAAAATCTCTCAGCGAATCCAATGCGTCAGGCGTATTTTTACGAGAGAAGCGAAACAATGTTGCAAGGCGCCCAGGTACGGGTAAGAAATTTTCATTAAAATATTTACATTAAAGTTTAGTACACCTTTTTTTTTATTTTATTAAAGTTTTTCTAATTAAAATTTTTCAAATTCTAATTTTCTAATTCAAATTTTCTAATTCAAATTTTGTAATTCAAATTTTTCAAATTCAAATTTTCTATTTTATTTCAAATTATTCGAGAAATTTTTTTCTATTTTCCTTTTTTAATTTTTTCACATTGACATTTCAATTAGTATATATCGATATTGTCCTTTTTTTCCTGAAGAAGTGTTGAGATTAAGAAAGTAATTAAAAATCTGATTAAGAAATACTCTGAAGCAGTTAAGTAAATGGGTTTACTTTTTCTCGCATTTTTTTTTTAATTCTAATTGAAAAGGGAAAATGAAATTAAGAATGTATGCAAATTTCTTTTTTTTCAAACGTTATTAAAAAGACTTTTTGACTATTAGTTATCTGAACTCTTTATCTATCTTCTTCTTTATTAATAATCGTCGTATTCCGAATATCTGTTCGCAATTTAAAGTTAGTTGTTTTTCTTTTTCTTTTTGTTTCCTTATTTTTCTTTTCTTGAAATGCTTTATTTTAAATTATTCTCTTAATTAAGTTGAAAGTATTCATTATTTATTACATTTAAATTTATGTAAATTAAATAAATTAGAAAATAATTATTTTATTTTAATTTGAAACATTTTTTTTTTTATTTTTTTTTTATTATTTCAGTCATCTTAAAAAAAAATTTAAGTGCATTTTAATTAATTTTAAAATTCAAAATATTGCTAGAAAAATTTATATATTATTTAATATTCATTAATTTGCATAAAAAAGTAAAGATTTTTTAATAATTTTTGTAAAAAAAGAAATATTAAAATTTTTGTAATTCTCACAATTATGAATTTGAAATAATTTGATTCTTGCATAGAAACTAATTGAAACTTTTGAAAATAATTGAATTGTTTCGAAGAATTTTATAAATATTTTAAAAATAATTGAATTTGTATCTGTGAAGAATTTTATTATTAATGAAAATAATTGAATTGTAAAGAATATTATCAAAATTCTTGAAAAAATTGAATTTTTTTAAAGAAATTTATTGAAACTTTTGAAAATAATTGAATTCATTCGAAGAAATTTATTATTTATGAAAATAATTGAATTCCTTCAAAGAATTTTATCAAAACTTTTGAAAATAATTAAATTTTTTTAAAGAATTTTATGAATAATTTTGAAATTAATTGAATTCAATGGAATAATTTTATTAAAACGTTTAAAAATAATTAAAATAATTTAATTCTTTTCAAGAATTGTCTTATGTATGAAAATAATTGAATTATTATAACAATTTTATTAGAATTTTTAGAAACAATTGAATTCTTTCGAAAAATTGTATTGTTTATGAAAATAGTTTAATTATTATAAAAAATTTTTGAAAATAATTGAATTAATGTAGAGAATTGTATTTGAATTTTTAAAAATAATTAAAATCGTTTAAAGAATTTTATTATTTATAAAAATAAATGAATTACTATAAAGAATTTTATCAACTGTATTGGAAATAATTAAATTCCTGTAAAGAATTTTATTACTTTTTAAAAATAATTAAATTCCCTCGAAGAATGTTATTATTTATAAAAATAATTGAATACGTTTGAAGAATTTTAATGCTTATGAAAATAATTAAATTGTAAAAAATTTTATGAAAACTTTTGAAAATGTAATTGAATTTCTAGACGAATTATTAGGATATTAGGATTTTTTTAAATAATTGAATTCTTGCGAATGATTTATTAAAATTTTATAAAATAATTGAATTCTTTTAAAAAATTTTATAACGAATTAAGAACAAAATAAAATTCTTTCGATAAATTTTATTGAAAATAATTGAATTTCTAGACGAATTGCTTTTTACAAAAATAATTGAATTCTTGCGAAAAATTTTGTTATTTATAAAAATAATTGAATTGTTTCGAAAAATTGTATTAAAAATTTTGAAAGCAATTAATTATAATATTTAATTAGTTGAAAAGTGAATTTTCCAAATTCTGAATCAAAAATAGTTTAAAAACAAAATTGATAATTGAAAATTATAAAAACTTTATTATTTGCATATTAATAATAAAAAATTGAATAATAACGTTTCGCTCAATAGCGCGCGTAATATTTGCAAGTTGATTTAATATTCAAAAAAGATTTTAGAATATTTTGTTCGATTGTTTGAAAATTAAATAAATATCGCTTTTTTCTAACTTTAATATCTATTTATTAATTATTTTCTATATTCATTAATTAATTATTTTTAATATTAATTTATTAATTTTATTTTTTCTATTAATTTCCCAATTATTTATTAGTACTACAATTTATGAATTATTTATCAATATTAATTTTATTAATTATTTTTAATGTCACAGGAAATAAATTTTGTTCCAGTGCGATGTCGATCAGTACACAAAAGTTCGAGGGAGATCACGTCGTAAATCAAAATCGTTTAAATCAGAATCAGAGGAGTATGACACATTGGGCTCGGACAGCGACACAGAAGTTGGAACGAGTAGTCGAACTGAATCGTCGAATCATCTTGAAGATTCGGGTCCAGCTTCGATAATGGCACGTTCGCCGGGTCCCAATTCCGGACAGAGGGGACGTGAGCAGCGACTAGCCCTTGTTCCTAGGCCGGTCCATCATAGTAAGTTAGTATTCGGTTTTCTGTGTCAATTTCTCTTCTACATCGCATTGCATTAATTTCAATTTCATTACAATTCTTGCGACATCACAGATGTGCTGTACCACACGCACGAATCAAGTACATCAACAGAGCCGTCACCAATTTCTGAGAGAAAGACTTTTCCTAGGCTAGAAAAGCAGAGGTATTTGTATTTTTGTTCTCTTTTTTTAATACAATATTTTTTCATGTAAATCATTGTTTTGTAAATTATTTAAATTTACTGTAAATTATTTTTCATTTAAATCGCTGTTTATTTTTTGAAAAATTAATTTTTATGTTCAATTGTAATTGCAAAGTATTTATGAAAAAAATTTGAAAATAATTAAATTCTTTCAAGAAATTTCATTAAAATTGTATTAAAAATAATTGAATTCCAGCCAAGAATTTTATTATTTATGAACAGAATCGAATTCTTCGAAAGAATGTTATTAAAATTGTACAAAAAAATAATTTAATTCTTGGCAAGTTTTATTAAAATTTTTGAAAATAATTAAATTGTGTTACAGAATTAATTTGAATTTTTTTTAAATAATGTTTCTTTTAAGAATTTTGAAAGTAATTGAATTTTATGAAGAATTTTTTTTAAGTTTCTAAAATAATCGTGTTTATTATTAATTGTAATTCATAATTTTGTTATTAAATTTTCTTCAAATTATTGACAGAAAATTATTTTTTTTTAAAGAATTTTATTTGTTTTTGTAAATAATTAACATTTTTTAAAGAATTTTTTTAAATTTCTTAAAAATAATGTAGTTTTTTAAAATAATTTTCACTGAAAGTTTTAAAAAATTGAAATTGAAAAATTAAAAATTACAAAGAATTTTATAAAAAAAGTTTTGAAAATAATTGAATTTATTAGAAAAATGGTATTACAATTTTTAAAAATAATCAAATGTTTTAAAGGAATTTTATTAAAATTTTTGAAAATAATTGAATGTTTTGGCGGAATTTTATTACAAATTTTGAAAATAATTGAATTGAATTGAAAATTTTTATTAAAACATATAAAAATTATGTAGTTTTCTTAAGAATTTTATAAAAACTGTTGAACATAATCGTAATTTTATTTTAAAAAATAATTGCATTCTTTCGAGAAATTTAATTTAAAGTTGTGTTAAAAATAATTGAATTCATTCGAAGAAATTTATTATTTATGAAAATAATTGAATTCCTTCAAAGAATTTTATCAAAACTTTTGAAAATAATTAAATTTTTTGAAAGAATTTTATGAATAATTTTGAAATTAATTGAATTCATTCGAATAAATTTATTAAAAAGTTCAAAAATAATTAACTTTTAAAAACTTTTATCAAAATTGTTGAAAATAATCGAATTCAATCAATATCATTAAAAATAATTGTATTTTATTTTCCTTTTAAAATTCCTCCGAAGAATTTTACGTTTTATATAAATGAATGAATTCTTCCAAAGAGTCTTATTATTTATGAGAATAATTGAATTGTTTTGAAGAATTTTTGAAAATAATTAAATGTTTTGAAATAATTTTATTAAAAATTTTAAAAATTATTGAATTGAAAAATTGTATTTAAACGTATAAAAAAAAATAATACATTTTTCTTAAGAATTTTATAAAAACTGTTGAAAATCAGCTAAGTAGTAAATAAAAAATGTAAAGGAAAAGAAAGAAAAAGAGTAAAATAAAAATTAATAAAAAGTTCCCCAAAATACAAAATTTATTTAGAAATTAATTTCTTTCTCCAAAAGGTATCGAGGTGGACCTCTAAACGTAACGATGGAGGGAAATCGACCGACAATGAAACATTCAGAATCGGGTATTCGTTCCTATTCGACAAATGCATCGCCCAGCCATATTATTAATAATCACACGAGAATGTCGACGTACGATAGACCAAAGGATTCAAGCGAGAGAAAATCCGTCGAGTCATTGTGTCATTTAGATGATGGTACAACGGCGAGAAATTATCAGAAAAATTCACGTTATCGACATCGAGAAAAGGGTGCCGCCGAATGGGGCAATGAATTGTCAACATTGGAATTGAAACCACCAACTGGTTTCACCGATGCTCATGAAACCAGCGAGGCCGAATGCGACATCGATATGAAACTTCGACTTCACCGTAAAAGGGGAGGACAAAACTGCCAACTTTCAAAATCACCTCAGGATTTTACCATTACAGTCTGAGAATTATAAATTTAAATTATATAGCTGATATCAAAATGAGATTTGTAAAAATTTAATAATTGTAAAGTTAAAAATGAAAAAAACAAAGAAAATTCCCTGTTGAAATGAAATGAAAAAAAAAACGAGGCATTGATAATATATATGTAAAGAATGACTGTCTCAAGAGACATTTATAATATTATCGCTCCATGTAAAATAAAGAATGTATTTTTCTAAATATGCGTTTTTTTATTTATTTTTTTTACGCAACCTTTGATTTTAATTTTTAATTTTTTAGTTTGCTTTCTCAATTATTTTATGCACTATTTTTAATCCAAAAATAATTAATTAATTCCAAATTAACAATTACAGTTAAAAAAATATATTTTTGGATATTTTTATTTTGTAATTTATTCATTTTTTTATTTAAATGTAAAATAATTAAACAAATTTTGTTGATTATATTTTTATAATTCCTGAAATTATTTTCGCCCTTCAAGTTTATCTTTATCAAAACAAAGTTCAGGCGCTTTAAAGTCATTTAGAGGTGAGTCACAATACAATTGTATTGCAGACAGAATTTTATTACCTAATTATAAACTACCAACCAAATAAATTTACTTTTATTTTTCAGAGAACATTTCGTTAAAATTTTTTCATTTAAAAATTGTTAATTCTTCTTCTTTATTTTGTAAAATTAATATTCATTTCTTGTCGGGAGTGTTGGAATTTTTTTCAAAACCACAGTCGTTTTATAATCAGAAAAAAGTATTTCTTTTTTTGGAATTCAAATCATCGGGAGTGTTCGAATTTTTTCAAACCGCGATCGTTGAGGAATTTTATTTCCTGTTAAAGTATTATTTCTCGGGAGTGTACTACATTTTTTCTTTATCAAAATCGCGAGTGTCATTCCAGAAAATCAGCAGGACGAATTGTTTTGGAGTAAAACGAGGAATAAAATAAAATTGACCATTTCAAGGTTTGTGTTCATTAATTTCAGTAGAATTTTTAATACTATTGTAGATTTTTTTAATTTTATAAAAATATTGAGAAAAATATCACAAAACGAAAATCTATAAATCAATTAAGAAAAGCGGAATAAAAGTAAAATAAAAAGTTAAATTTTTGCAAAAAATTTTCACAACTATAATAATTCTATTACTTTATTTTCCCCATTTTATCCATGGAAAATAAAATGTCACATTCAACCATATTCTGATGGTGATAAAAACTTTTTTGCCATCGAATTTATAATGAAAAATTACTTTTTCTCTTTGTCGATGAAATGATGCGACCACATCGGTAAAAATTGTGTTTGATTTTATTTCATTATACACGAAGAAAAGTATAATCCATTCGCATTTGTTTTCTTTTGAAAATTCAAAAACTTAACAAACAATCTCTTAAACTTTTTGAAATTCTTCATTCTCTCAATATTCGAAAAATTCAACAACTTTCGCCAAAAATATAAATTCTAAATTTTTTTTTCATTTCTAATATATCCTAGAATTTTCTTTTCGATTTAATTTTCAAAAAACCATTTCCTATATTCGCAAAAATTTTATTTTTAGCCAAAGCTGAGGAATGTATTTTTAATTTTTTATACTTAAAAATTACGTGTTATGGTAAAAAATGTTCTTTTTTTCTATATGGGAGAAAAAATAAAATTTTCTCGAATAATTATTTGCAAGAAAGGAACGAGGACAATTCTTTTTTTTTTCTTTTGAGGATTCACTTCTCTTCGTGGGTGTGTACAATTAGTTTTGAATTTTTTTTTCGTCGCGAAATCGCCACCGTATTATTTATATATATTTTTGTTTATAATAAATCTATTTTTAACCGACTGTCTTGATAATAAATCGATCGTTCAACTTTTCGGTGCAACAAAAGAACGAAAACGAAAAAAAAATTGAGAAAAAAAAGAGAAAAACATTCATGTGCGTCATCTCGCAAAAAGTATACTGACTAGAATCTAAAGTGCCTGCCTTTTTGCATTAATAATTCGAGATACTACAAAGTTACTGCGCAGTGCGTTTTCTACAGACTACGGATTACCGTACATTGCGCTCGTTTTCCACTTTTTCCAAATTTTACTCATACATTTTACAAATTTCTTATTTTCTCGTAAATAATTACCAAAAAAAAAGAAGGAATATTGCCTTAAGGAGAGATTGAACGACTTTTGAATTATTTATCATTATTTAATTATATTATTATAGTACAATTTACCATTTTTAATTTATCATTTTTCTCGCAAGGAAACTTGGTATTTAATTTTCATTTTTGTCAATTCTTTTGAATTTCGGAGACAATTCTTTTACTTTCTACGAATTCGAAAGTTCTTTTATTCTCTTACAAAAAATGTAATTTTCCTTTTGCTTTCAAATTCGTTTCTTAGAGATATTTTTTAGGTACTTTCTTCAATTTAATATTCTCAATTTGCTTTGTTTTTTGCAAAAAAATTTATTTCCTGAAATTTATAATAAATTTTATTTTATTTCAACTAAAAGATAATTAAAAATCGAGTATTCGTTGGCAAAGGAAGAGAAGTAAATTAATAAGAGAAAAATTGAAGAAAAGGTTTCAAATCTCATTCAGGCTGAAAAATCCTTTTTTTCTTTTTTGTAATTATTTTTCAGAGACAGTCGCATTTATTAAATTTCTAACATCATCATTTCATTGAAAACATCGATTTGTTCATTGAATGATACATAGTCTGTGTACAACATTGCGCGCCAAGGAAATGAATTTTTCACTGAAAACTGAAGGTACTTTTTCTACTATAAAAAAAAAGGGGAAAGAAATTCTTTTTTTAAATATTTTCTACAACTTTCGTCAAAGTATTAAACTTCATACATATATTACATTTATAAGTTTCTCTGTACATTTGAAATTTAATACTAGAATTCGTGCAGACTTTTTCTTAAATATTTCAGTTTTATTTCTTTTTTTGAAAGAAAAAAAATTGTTTCCACTTGAAATTCATTTCCCTGGTAGCTACATATATATAATCTAGATAAAGATATAACTTATTTTCGAATTTACATAGCTATAGACATTATGTGATTATTACACGTATATGTATAAATCGTTAGTCGTTCTTTTCTTATTTTTTTTTTTTTTCTTAAACATTATCGTTATAATAATTATGCGGGCCATAACAATATTACACAAAGATATATTACACACGTCGGATGCAAAAGGAGGGATTGATTGGTTAATCGGATCATATGCAGCGTCACTAAATTATTTTCAAATTTCTTTTACAATCTCAATGATTTTACAGATATTTTTATTAACATTTTTTGTTTTTTGTTCTTTTCATTTGAATGCTGCAATTATTCTCGGGAAGCATTCTCTGACGACGATTGAATAAAAATCTTTTGTTTTTTTTTCTGTTCCTCGCTTTATAAATGCTATTCGTTCAATCTCGGACGGCTTCTTTGTGCACGGCCTCTCGGGAATAATTTGAAATTGAAAAATTCCTCCCGATAAGCAATCACTCGCGAATTTCTATTTTCATCAAAAAAATTTATCCCCCAGAGCAAACATTTTTTTTGGGAAAAAGAATTTTTGTAATTTGTTTTTCTTTTGTATAATTAATATACTACTGGGATAAGTATCTTTGATTATTTTTTCTTTAAAAAACATTTCTTGCATCACCTTAATTCTTAAATCGTCGTTAAATAGCGAAAAATGAAAAATTCAGTCTTTAAGAACACCTTTAAATTTTGGGCACAAATTATTTTTCTACAAAATTACTGAAAAAAAGGAAAAAAAAATTTTTTTGGTTAAAAAAAATTTATGCCCAGGTGCTTTTGTAGTATTTTTCCTTTTCTTTTTATTGGAATAATTTGCTGGTTCGTTGTCTTGGAAAAATCGGCAAGTACGCCAACAATTCGAAATTAAAGGCTATAGTCGGACAGTATTTTTTTTTTGTTTTGTTTATTATTATTTTGAGCGGTTTACTCTTGTCATCAGATGACAGGACGAGAAGACAAATGATTATACAAGTTTTTTTTTTGTTCAAGCAATGATTTTTCGATATTAATGAATTTAATGGAGAAAAAAAAATATTAGAGTATTCGCAGTTTGTCGTAAATTTTAAAACTATTCACACATACAGTTTTTTTTTATTTTTAAATACAAACGCATTATGAATATCACAATACATATGTTTTTTTTGTGTAATATAAAAAAATGCAGATTGTTTTAGTGGTTCCACAGTGGACAGTCAATGCGCGATCGAAACACGCAGGAAATTAATTGATTATCGTGTTACATTACTTTTGGTGATAGTGTTTATCAAATTATGAAAAAAAGCAATTAACAAAATTTATTCCATTTTTTTGAAATTAATTTTTATGAGATAGAAAATTCTAATTGCACAATCGTAGATTTTTTGTATCAAGGTTTATACCTAAATGCGATAGTTTTCTTTTACGAAAAATTAATACTGATAAAAATTTTCCATGAGGAGAAATTTGAAAATTTTCTTCCGCATTTTTTTTCAAATTTGTAACAGTATTAAGATTTACCGCCGACTGTCGCAAGTGAGCAATCTTAAAATTAGTGGTTTTACAATACTAAAAATATAAAACACAAAAAAATCGTGGTTCGAGAAGATAATTATGAAAAAATTGCAGACTTTTTTATTAAGAAGATAATATTGGTTCTTGTTTTTGAGTTTATATTTAATATACTTAAAAGTAAAATATTTCAATTGAGTATATTGTAGAAAATCAGTTTCTCTAAATGAGAACTTTCGAAATTACTTATTCAGTTTATAAGCGCAATTAAATTTATTCTCTCACCGTAAAATTCAGGTGATTAAAGTTTGGAAGTGACAATTACAAAATTGTTTCTTAATTGTAATTTTACACGATAAATCTGGTTTTAAAAATTAAGTTAAAAAAATTCATTAAAAAGCAAGTCTGTGTGATTTTTTCATTTTTTTTAAATGCAAAAACGATCGATGGGTATAAAAATGTAGACGAAGACTTCTTTTTCGGAATGTTACGAGATATGTAATATTACTATTATTATTTTAAAAATTGTGTTTTAAAACGTCATTCGATAAAAAAAAGTAATTTTATTCAAGAACGTTACAAACTAATACTATAATATTTAAATTTCCAACTCCATTTATGATTTATCCGATTTTAATTTTTTAAAAACAATGTAAAATTTGTCTTTTTGACATTAAAATTCACAAAGAATGCGAATGGAAACTTATTTATAAATATAATACAGAGAATTTTATAACGCAAATACAAAAATTGTATAAAATTTTTGTTTTTCAAAAAACAAGGAATGATCAATGAGATAAAAAAGGTAAATGAATTTGTGAGTTTACATGTACCTCGAGAATTAAAAAAAACACGAGCCTTGATTTCTCGTTGTAAGAAAACGCGATTTAAAAATAAGCATTGATCAAATAACGTTTTTTTTTGTAATTTTTTTTTCGTTTTTTCGTAAACAGAACAATTATCGAAAATATAAAATTCCTACTTATAAAATAAATACAATTCAATTTAAAAATTTAATTTAATACCGATTTGAAGAAATTTCTTTAATAATTTTGACGTAAAAGAAAATTCAGAAGGATAGGAAAAGTTTCGTTATAAAGTTGAAGAAATTTTAATATTTTTCTTTAATTTATGGAAAAAAATTAGCAATTTTATGAGGAAAAAAATATATAAATAGATGGGGGAAAAAAAGATAAAAAGTGTCATAGATTGAAAAATGCAATTTCGCGCACTGTGTGAAAAAAGACCCACTAAAAAAATGTAGAGCCTTTTGGAAAAAAATGAGTTAATTTAAATTTCCCCTCCTCCTATCCGAATTCGAGTTTTACGCCTCACGCCTTAAAATTTATTTATTTCCTAATTCTTTGGCAACTAGATCTGTCGGATGGTCCGTACGAATATTTACAAACGATTTCATCTTTTTCTTTTCTTCGCAGTGAATAAAAATGTTTTTCTTTTTGTTCTCTGTCTGGACTAGGAAACGATACCACATTACGCTCTAATCTCTTATTTTCGTAAGTAATATACGCGAGATTAATCGCTGAGTAAAAAAGAAAGACGTTTCGGTCAAAAAAAAAAAAAAAATCTAGTTCGATTATTATATCAAACTTTATATATACAATAAAAACCCCTATTCGAATGAAAATTCATCATTCAAACGAGGATCGCATTTTAAAAATGTCATTCGTTTATCGAAAGAGTCAGAAATATTTTCACTATTTTATATTCACTCTCTTCAAAGTTTTTTCTTTTTTCCCACCATTTCAGTGTTTTTAACACTAAATTTTTGTTTGGCAAAAAAAGGGGTAGTAGAGAAGAATAAAAAATGATTAGAGACAAACTCTTTGCTCTGAACTGTCCGAATTAATTTGGATAGCAAGCAAGGAGTTTGGATTCCATCATTGTGGTGCCATCATGCATTGGGCCTCCATTCCTTCGGGTGGCACTCGCATATTGCCATTAGTGACACATCCATTAACGTCGATGGTGATTGGCGCGCCTGGATGACTCGTGAAATTTGCATTGCACAATTGCATCGATGCACTTTCGGTGAGCACATGATCACTTTGAACTAAGCAAGCGTCATTCGTTGGACAGCCATGATCGTTCGTGTGACTTAGATGAATTGGAATTGAATAATCAGGAATATATTCACCATTTTGGTCCACTGGCACGTGTTTTCGATAGACTTGAAATTTTCTTGGAATGAATTTTGGATCAATAACTAACGAGCTAATGTCGTTTGTTTCATTTACTCCGGTCACATGACCATTTGCCATTGTGTAGAGATCGGGCTCAACTCGCGGTTCCGACGTTAACATTGACTCAAGGCACTGATACAACAGAACGTAATCCTCCTGTTTGACAAAAAAAATTAATAATTATTCTAATTCAATTAATTAATTTCGATATTTTTTTTTGTTCTCTTTCAATCTTATGAAATTAAAACATAAATTAAATAACTTAACAATTTTTAAATATAGAATAAAATAATTTCTCAATTTTTCTTGTAAAAAATAGTAGAAAAATGTTATTCTCTAAATCTGAATCAATAAAAATTTGAACTAATTAGAGGAAAAATGATATGAAATTTGTAAAAACTAATATTTTCCTTCTACGTAGAACGAGGCATTAGAATAGAAAAAATTCAGTTTTTCTTATAAAATAAGTAACATTAACTGTATTCTGCATTAAAAACATTAGTTTTTTTAAATTATTTAAATTTTAGAAAATAATTACATTCTTTCGAGAAATTTAATTGAAATTCTATTGTAGAATTTTTTTATTTTAGAATTCTTAATTTTTTTAATATTGAAAAAAGATATAATAATAATACTAATAATAATAATAATAATAATAATTGAATAAAGAATTTCACCGAAAAATTTTGAAAATAATTTTTAAAAATATAAAAAATAATTTCTTCTTTTGAAAATGTTTATTATTGATAAAAATAATTAATTTTTTTTAAAGAAATTTTTAATTATGAACATAATAAAATGTAAATAATTGATTTATTTCGAGGAAAATTAAAATTTTGTAAGTAATTGAATTCGTTCGAAACATCTGATTATTTATAAAAATATTCGAATTCGTTGAAAGAATTTTATTATTTATGAAAAGAATTAAATTATTATAAAGAATCGTACCAAATTTTTTAAAGTAATTGAATTATGATAATGAATTTTCTAAAATCTTTTGAAAATAATTCAATTTTTTTGAGAAATATTATTATTTATGAAAATAATTGAATTCTTTTCAAGAATTTTATTGTTTGTGAAAGTAATTGAATTTATACAAAACAATTTTATTATCTATAAAAACAATTGAATTCTTGTCAAGAATTTTATTTAAATTTTTAAAAATAATTGAATTCTTGTCAAGAATATTAAAAAAAATTTTTGAAATAATTGAATTCTTCCAAAAAATTTTAATATAATTTTTAAAAATTATATTAATTTAAATTAATTAATTAATATAATATAATACCTATAATTTAAATTTTAAATCCAAATTTATAAAGAAATTGAAATTTATATTTAAAAATAAAAAATTTTGTAATTTGCATAATTTTTTTACTATTCTCGTATAAATTCTCAGTTTACCAAGTAAAAGAAAACGAAAATTTGATCTAGAATTTTAGTTATAAAATTGTAATATAGAATTCTTGTTAAAAAAATCTTTTTTGAAAGGTAAAATGTAAATTTGAAGGAAAACTTACCAAAGACCTAAAAATACCAGGCCTCTTCATATACAAAAGTTTGGAAAACATGTAAACATCTGCGCTCTGTTCAAACTCAATTTGTTTTGTGAGTGTTGTAAGTAAAATAAACAGACCAGCTTCAATACCACCGAACCTAAAAATTTACAATTTGTTAATAACAGAAAAAATAAAAAAAAAATAAATATATAAATACAAAAAATTAAAAAAAAATAACAAAATAATTTGTCTAAACTCACAATCAGTGAAATAGAATTTTACAAAATTAAATTCATTAACAAATTTTTGAACTTGAAAAAAATGCAAAATTATATTACCTATCCATAACGACGATGGGTCCATTTTGATAATCTCTGTGAAAATCTTGAATGACGCTGACAAAAGCTTTCGGATTGTTATGATGAGGCCAAGGACCGCCTTGATTTAGAGGTCCTTGGACAATTTTGGCACTTAGCTCATAGTCATCCTGCAGTGAACGCACTGCAACTTCTCGTAATACTACTCCGCTCACTGTCTCCTTAATTCCACACAATCTCACTCTAAATGTCTCCGACTCCAAATCCTTTCCCTCGATAGGCCAGAATTCAGGGTATTCCTATTTTTGCGACAAAGAAAATTGGAGAATAATTAAAAAAAAACAGAAAACAAATTGTCAAATTAAAAACAAATAAATTAATGAATAAGAAAAAAAATTCGAATTTATTCTTCTAAATTTTTTTTTTTGTCGAATATTGCCTCAAATATTTAGACAAAAAATTGTACTTCTTTCTACTCTACTTGTTATTGAAAAAAAAATTTTACAATTAATTAAAAATTATAAAATAATAATCTCATTGGTTAATCGAAAAATGTTTGAAACTACCTCGTCGCATTGCGTCAACATGACTATAGTCTGCGCATTGTGGTCCCACATCATTTGCCAAAATTCCATTATCGTGTCCTCCAAGGGATGTTGAGTGATAATAAATTCACGATTCCGGTGGAAACCTGCCAGACGATTATTTATTACCAAGAAAAGATTAAGAGAAAGAGAGAAAGAGTAAAAAAAGAAGGAGAAAATTTTTAAATCGCTTTTTATGAATAAATCATTTTTTTTTCTTGTCCTTACCAGCAACCCACGTTCCGTTAATATAATCGCTACCGTCGACGCCAGGTTTCGGTGTAAGATGAACGCGAGCATTTTCAATAGGAATAATTTCCATATTTCTATTTTTATGAATATTACACGACTTCGTCGCAGACACTAAATTAAAGTCCTTTGGTTTCCAAGACGATACAAGCTGTAAATGGAAAAAAAATTTTGATTATTGGAGAAATTTCGAATATTAAAGTCAGTCTCGTAAATTTATAATAGGAAAAATTGGAAACAATTTTGTTTGAGATATTAGTAAAAAAATTTCTTAATAAAAAAAAAATTACTTTATAAAAAAAAAAAATAAATAAAAAAAAAAAAAAAAATAAAAAAAATTAAATTAAATTTTTTTTTTTAATTTAAATAAATAAAATTACTTTATATTGTGCTTCCAAATTATTCCAGGGATTAGTTTTATTATTCGAAGAGCACAGCATATCTTGCACGTGTTTCGCTAAATTATTAACTTCTATATTTGTTTCGCCGCTCTCGATTGCCTCTTGAAGAGCGTCGTGAATGAAAATATATTGCTCCTCAGTTTGAACGAGAAAATTTCTCTGTGTACGAATGTGTTTCAAAAATCCGTAGACATTAATTTCGCCTTTACTTTTCGCCTGCCGAAGCATTGCGTCAATCACAATGTAAGTTCCGGTGCGACCCACGCCAGCACTGCAAAAAAGGAATTAGAATATTAATAATCGTTGTATTCTGGTAATCTGCTCGCAGTCTGAACTTTATTTTTGTTTGCTTCTTGGTTTCTTAACTTTTTTAATTTTTCTTTTAAAATATTTTCAATTATAAAATTAATGTTTTAAAAATAATTGAATTCTTGCAAAGAATTTTATCAAAAAATTTATAGAGAATAATTGAATTACTTTAAAGAATTTTTTTATTTATGAAAATAATTGAATTCTCGCGAAGAATTTTATTAAAATTTTTAAAAATCCTATTTAAATACTTTTGAAGAATTTCATTGAAATTTTTTAAAATAATGGAGTTTCTTTAATAATTTTAATTGGAAATTTTGAAAGCAATTGAATTTTATTAAATTTGTATTGAAAATAATTGAATTCCTAAGAAGAATTTTATTATTTATAAAAATAATTTAATAGTTGCGAATAATTTTACTACTTATAAAAATAATTGAATTGCTCCGATAAATAGTATTAAAATTTTAGGAAATAAATAAATTTTATGTAAATATTTGGAAGTAATTAAATTATTTCGAGGAATTATATTAAAATTGTTTTGAAAAGAATTGAATTTCTGCAAACAATTTTAATATTTATGAAAATAATTTAATTCCTACAAAGAATTTTAGTATTTATAAAAATAGTTGAATTGTTTCGAAAAATTTATTAAAATTTTAGAAAATAATTGAATTTTATGGAAATATTTGAAAATATTTGAATTCTTCAAAGGAATTCAATCAAAATTGTTATGAAAATAATTTAATTCCTGCTAAGAATTTTACTATTTATAAAAATAATTGAATTCTTGCGAAGAATTGTACTATTTGTAAAAATAATTCAATTTGTTTCGATGGATTTCATAAAGATTTCAGAAAATAATTGAATTTATTCGAAATTTATTAATATTTTTTAAAAAAATTGAAATCTTCTGAGGAATTTAATTAAAATTATTTTGAAAATAATTGTATTCCTGCAAAGAGTTTTACTATTTATAAAAATAATTGAATTCCTGCGAATGATTTATTAAAATTTTAGAAAATAATTGAATTCTTTTAAAAAATTTTATAACGAATTGAGAACAAAATTAAATTCTTTCGCTAAATTTTATTGAAAATAATTGAATTTTTGCAAAGATTTTACTATTTAAAAAAATAATTGAATTGTTTAGAAGGATTTATTAAAGTTTTAGAAAATATGTATTTTAATTTTTTTGTAAAATTTTATTAAAATTATGTTAAAAAATAATAGTATTCTTCCGAAGAATGTTTTTATTTATATAAAAATAATTAAATTCTTGCGAAGAACTATATTAAAATTTTTGAAAATATAAACAATAGTACCTAATTAATTTTGTACTTAAGAAGTAAATTTTTTAAATTTTGATTATGAAATTATTTAAAATTTATATTTGAAAATAAAAATGTTGTAATTTGCATAATAATAATAAATTGAATTCCTCGTTTCGCGCGTAACATTTGCTAGATAAAATTTTAAAGTTCAATCAAAATATAATTAAAATAGAAAAATATGATCAAAATATTGAAATGAAATAATTAATATAGAAAAATATGATCAAAATATTAAAATAAAATAATTAAAATATTAAAATATTGAAATACGATTAAAATATTATTATTGAATAAAAAAACAGGAATAATTTCATCACCGATGTGAATATTACATTAGCGGGACAAAATTAATCAAAAGGGAAGTCTGAATAATAAATTTAATTTAAATTTACAAACCTGCAATGGACAATAATTGGTCCAGCGTCTGGTGGATTGGCGTTTGACGATTTACAAATGAAATTGAGTACTGGGAGAGGATGATCAGGAACTCCATGATCCGGCCATCCAGTATAATGATACTGAAGTACTGTTCTCTCGGCCATGTTGTTTCCGTTCTTCTTTTTCTTAATCTGCTTAAAATCCAAAATCAACTTCATTTTATTAAATAATTCAGTGCACAATTATTATTTATTAAGAAAATGATACAATATTTTTTTTATTACTAAATAATCATATTAATACTTTTCTGTTAATAACAGTTAAATAAATAATGTTGATGAAAATAAAATAAATTTCTGTCATTTTAGACTGAAGTGGCAATTAAACAATGGAAATAGAACCGTTTGCTTAAAAATTAGTAATTTTTTTTCAAAAAAGGGAATAATTCGAAAAAAGTATAAAAATTCTGCTTCCACTACCTTTAGATGACGAATTTGCAAGGTGCGGATCGTGTAAGTCGCCATGACGTCCTCTTTCGCCAAACTAACTTGAATGTAACCGTAGGTCTCCGTTCCCTCTTTAGGCCAATACATGTCGCATTTTCTCTGCAAGTTGAGGAGAAAATTTAATTTAATTTCGAAGTACACAAATATACTTAATTATAATCACTACTTATTTATTTAATTACAATTACTTCTAATTTATTTAATTATAATTAGATTGTAATTTCTTTAATTCTAATTAAATTCCAATTTATTTACTTCTAATTAAATTCCAATTTATTCGGTTCCAATTAAATTATAATTTCTTTAATTCTAATTAAATTACAATTTATTTACTTCTAATTAAATTCCAATTTATTCGATTCCAATTAATTTATAATTTCTTTAATTCTAATTAAATTATAATTTATTTAATTATGTCTCGAAAATAATTTTTCTAACAATATAAATTAGATTATTTTTTTCTTTTTTGACTTTAGACAGAATTTAGATTTTCAAAAAGTAGAACTTGTGGAATTTTATTCCATTTTCCAAACATAGATCTCAGGGGAAAAAATTGTATTCTTTTTCTGATGATTTTTTTTTTAAATGTCACGCGTGGAAAAAAATAAAGAACTCAGATAATCAGGGTTATATTCTGTTGGAATAATAAAGAGGAAAGCCTGAAGAAGAGTCATTGTATGTGGCATGATTATACAAAACTTACACGACCGCGCTCGACTAAATTAGTTATCATCACGATGATGGACACTCGTTGCTCCCACACCATACGCCAAAAGCCGTCGAACGTTGGAGGCAAAGGACCTTGAGTACCGATGTACGCACGAGCTCGTTGCCAACCATCAATATAATTCGCGTTAACATAATCCTGACCCTTTTTCGGAGGTCCACCTCCACATGACAACAATTGAACTCGGCTGTGATCATCTACGAAATAAAAACAAGTCGATTGTCATTTTATTTTCGAATATTATTTTCTCAGTTTCGAATATTATTTTTATTTCCTACTTATTGCTATTCATCATTTCTATAATTAAATAATTTTTATCATTAAATTTATTTTTACAATTCTGAGTAAATTTTCATATATCAAAATGCAACTGATGCTTTGTACTTGGCCTAAATTTTGTCTCCGATGCATTTTTTATCGTTTTCTTTTGTTTTAAATTTTTAATAATTCATGAATCAAGTTTCTATAAAATGTTTAAAGTTGAAAACTTGTTTAAAAAAATTTGTAAATTTTATCGAATTTCTAATCTTCTTTTTTTGATAACGAACAGTTTTTGTTAGCAGTGAACAAGAAAAAGCAATTAATTTAACGTCGTTAACAAGTGAAAATATATTTTTTTAATTTAAATTAGGTACGTTTCATTTATATTAAAAAATATTTTTCCAAATTTTTGCATTTTCAGTTCTACACATATTTCTCCAGTTTTAATTTAATTTGATTTAATTATTTCAAAAGAGTTTAGTTCGTTTTTAATTTAATTTTGCTTTATTTTCCCATACTCTGCTTCGTTTTTTAATTAAATTTCGTTTCATTTTCCAATATTTGAAATCAAAAAATTCCTCTAAAGTTAATTACAAAATTGTGAAATTTAAATTAAATAAAAAACTTTTTTTATTACAGATTTTTTACTATCAGATTTAATAATAATTAAAAATAGAAACTTAATTTACAAATTCTGTTTCATTTTTTTTTATTTTATAAAAACTTGTCTAAAAAAAACTCGACTCGAGTGTTGTGAGACAGTGTTTAGAAATTTACTTACAAGCGAGAATATTGAGGTATCTATTTTTTGCTTTATTTTCAGCAAACTGGGAATTTTCGACAGTGTAGTCGCCAGTGTCAGATTGGATGACATCATATTCCTTGCTGAAGCCAATGTCGCCATCGGCATGTAACGAGGCAACATGTTGAGCAAAATGTTGAACCGCCACTGCTGTTCTCTCGCCATCCTGTTCGCTATTCTCCCATTCCTGTAGTGTCGGAACATTCCTCGGTGGATAATCCAAATAGTAATAGGCGGTGTGAAAACACTTTCTGAAAACGGGCCTACCACATGGCCTGATAAGTTTCATCTTCCAATAAGTTTCATATAAATTATAATTTATAATTATGCTAAAATTATTTCACTAATAATAATACTAATAATGAGAAAAATACTAATAAGAATAAAAATAAGAATAATAATAAAAATTAAAAATAATAATAACAAAAATAATAAGGGTAAAAATATTAATACTAAGAAATAAAGGAAAACAGTAATAGTAATAAATAATAATAATAAAAAAATTGACGATTATTGACGAATAATAAAAAAAATTACAAAAAGATAAAATAATAATAATACTACTAATAGTAATAATAATGTTACTAATAATAACAATTAATTCGAAATCAGTGAAAGTAAATATCAAGAATGTTACGAAAGGTACATTGTTTGGTCGAAATTTACTCATAGAGACAATAATTTCGATAGGTTACTTTCATTTCTTTCAATTTTTTTCTCCTTCTTATAATATCGCATTTTCCCTGAGAATCTATTTTTCAAACTGAAAATTTTCCTTTTCGATTATTTCTTCACTTCATTTGATTGACCTTTAAATTTGCTTCCGGAAATTAATAATAAAATTGGAAAAAAAAGAAATGAGCAATTTTTCCCATCGATGGAATAATTAGGAAAATTAATATCGGAATTTGTCAATCGAAAAAAATTGTCTTCATTGTCGGAAATTTAATTTACAATCTAAACGAAAAATTATTTTCATTTCACGAAAAACCAATTAATTCAATTTATTCACTGAAAATCAATGGAAAAATATGAAGGAAAAATAGTTTGGAAAAAAAAATTGTCAGAATTTAAATATGAATAATAAATAGAAGAAAAAATTCAAAATCTAGAGAAGAAAAAAAATTGAAGTTCAATGAGTGAATTTAGTGCGAATTCAGGAGTAAATGACGAAAAAAAAATTATTGCGGAAAGTAGGAGATAAAGAAAAAAAAAAAAAATAACGACAAATTGAGGTCAAATTTTCTTGCGTAAAACACCCGAGGCACATTGAAATGATGTTAAAAGAATCCTTTGTGATGTAATAATGACCATTTATTAACCAAGTTCATTAGATCGCGTGAGAATACAAAAGAAACGAAAAAAACTTTCAAAAGATGTTATATCAGTTTTTCTTTTTTTTGATTCTGATACAAGATAGGCGTATATGCACTCGAGCGTTATCTCAAATTGAATGAATCTTTTTAAAATCTTCATAGAAAGTCTCCTTACGGTATTATTCGTCGTATATTTGTTGAAAACGATGAAAAATTGACTTCTCTGAGTCTTTTCATTTTTGTGATTAATTGACAGAATCGAAGGAAAATCAGAGAGAAAAAAATAGAAAAAGAAAACCAAAAAACGAGAAAAGAAAAGACGAAATAAGAAAAATCGAAAAAATGAACAGAGAAAAGAAAAGACGAAAAAAGAATAAGCAAAATGAAAAAATCAAAAAAAAAAAAATTGAAAATAGAAAAATCCAAAAAAGAAAAATCGAAAAGAGAAAAAAAAAGAAAAGACAAAAGAAGAATAATCGAAAAAAAGAGAAAACGAAGAAAAAAACGAAAAGAAATAAGGAGAAGAAATACAAGATGGAAATTTTAGTTTTAACAAAAAAAAAAAAGAGCGCGCACGAATTTGGTCTTTAAAAAAAATCAACCGAAACGACACGTTCTCTCTCCTACACTCTCGACTCAATCGTCAACTGTGAAATATTATTCCGCAGTTGTCAGTGGTCGTTATCGTCGAGTCGGAGATAAGAAGAGCGTCGGTGTTACGGGCCTATGTCGATCTGCACAAGTGGTCGTATTTATGTTCCATTAGAGACGATTGAACGATTATTGAATTTGAAAGAGCGAAAGACAGAGCTCGATTTAGGTCCCTTTCACTCTTTTACATCATTTTTTTCCCCTCGTTTTTTAACAATATTTTCCCTTTTAAATTTTTTAACAATTTCCATTTTGAAATAGGAAAAAAAAATCGGTTCAGTATTTTTAACAATTTTCTTTCCGAATTAAAAAATATTCTTTTCTCGAAATAAAAAAAAATTTCTCTCTTACTTTTTTCGAATGAAAACAAAAAAAAGAATAAAACAAATTTTTTTCTAACAATTTGCATTTTGAAAAAAAATCATTCTAATATTTTTAACAATTTATTAAAAATATTCTTTTCTACATTTTCTCATATCGAAATAAAAAGAAATTTTTTTCTCTCTTTCTTTTGAATAAAATTAAAAAAGAACAATTTTTATTTTTAAATAGAAAATTGGGAGAGGGAAAAAAATTTCCCCGAGTATTCTCGAATATTCTTTTTGTCATTGAGAAAATTTTTAATGTCGATAAAAGAAAGAGATTCAATAATTATTGTTTGAGAAAATTTGCGATAAGGTTCAAAAAATGATTGTTAAATAAACTACACAATTGACTGCCAGCTCGTATTATCGCCCTTTCTATTTATATAATTACTATCTACTGATGGTCCAGTCATAGACCAGAGATAAGAGTCGAAAGATTTATATATATTGACATTTGATAATTTTGTAAATTAAATACGATTCTCTGATGAATAAATTAGAAACTATTTTACATGACTAATACAGGTGGGAATTTTTTTCACTAAATTGAAAAAATGAATTAAAATTTTTAAGAAAATATAATATAGATTATTTAGATAATTTGTTATTTTTACAAAATATTTTGAAAATATAAATATTTTTTCACCAATTTTTATTGTTAAAAAATTCGTAAATTTTTTTCTATATTTTATAAAGAAAATGATAATTGAAATAATACTTTTTCTCCAAAAAAAAAAATTTCTTTTTTAGAACAATTTTCATTTTTAAAAATATAGAGAAATTTATTTCTACTTTTTATAAAAAAAATGATAATAAAAATAATACTTTTGAATAAGAGAGTAAAATTTTTTTGGAACAATAATTTAAACAATAATAAAAGTAGAGGCAAAAATTTGTTAGTCAATAATAAATTTCTTTCTAAATTATTTACTTTAAAAAAAAATGTTATTGAATCAGAAATTCGTAATAATGAAAATGTACCTTTCGTAAACTGTTTTTAAATTCAATTATTTATAATTATTTTTAAATGCCTACGAATAAAATAATATAAAAATATAAATAATTGAATTAAAAAATATTATCTAATTAGAAAAAAAATAAAGAATAGAAAACTAACGAATGGAAAAAAATGAAAAATTTCATTCAAAATTTCTTGAAATAAAAAATTTGCAAAAAAAAAAATTAATGACGAACTGAAGGAACCTTTTGAGTGAATGGTTTCATTGATAAGTCTCACCTCCAGAGAATAAAAGATGTAATTGCCAGCATCACGGCAAAACAGGCGCAAACCATTCCGGCAATAACGCCAGCGCTTAATTCTTTGCTGCTTCGTCTCATCAATGGTGGACTTTTGTCACAATCGCGAGCAAGAAGGACTTTTCTTGCCAAAGTACTTTCCCCACGAATAATGTCCGAGGGATTTATCACACTTCTAGTCGCTCCTTGTACAGTGACCTCGTAAATTGCGTTCATCGTCAGATTTGTGATTGTCGTCTGAAATCATTAATCACAATTTTTTATTTTAATATACAATATAATCAATTATCAAAAAATTGCAGACTCATCAATTTGACCCTTTTAAAACAATGATTATTGTTTTCTTTTTTATTTCATCTTTTTTTCATATCTTTTCAAATTTTCTCCTATCGTTCTTTTATCAATCATCTTTTTTGTTTTCTAATTAAAATTAATAACTGGGAGCATTTTTTTGTAATTTAATTAAATTATTATTTCTAGAACATTTTTTTCTGGTTTAATTAATTATTTTTTGATTTTTTTACACTGATAGAATATAATTTTATTCGGCTGTATCAATCATCTTTTTATTTCCAATTACAAACAGTTACGAATATTTTTTTTAATTTAATTAAATTATTTTTTTGGATTTTTTTGAAATGTAGTTAAAAGAAGCAATTCGGAAAATTCCTTTTTTTAAATTAAATTTTACTTTTTCGAATGGGGAGAGTTTTTAATCAAACTTTTAACTTTAAATTAGCGAATAGCTACTGAATTAAAAAAAGACCTGATTGAAAAGGATTAAGAGAATTAAAAAAGAGATTTAAAAAACACAGTTAAAAAAAGAGATTTAAAAAATATTTAAAAAAACTTTTTAAAAATCATTTCAAAAAAGAAAATACATTTTGCAAATGGGTCAATTTTTTTCTTCCCTGATAAATTGATGAATTAATAAATTGACAAATTGATAAATAATTCAATAATGAATTCTTTTTCAACTTTACTCTATTTTATTCTATTTTATTATTTTATTCTATTTTTTTGTTCAATTTCTCATTTTTAAATAATAATTAAATAATTGAATATTGAAATAATTGAATAATTAAATATTTAAATAATTGAATAATTGAATAATTAAATATTTAAATAATTAAGTAATTAAATTATTTATTTATTGAATAATTAATTAAATAATAAAAATGCTATAAACAATATAATTAACTACAAAAAATTTGATATAAGCAAAAGATGAATTAAAATAAAGGAAAAAATAATGAATAGGAAAATTTATTTATAAATTCTCACCCCGCTCTCGAGATAATTCGTGGCAGTTGAAAGTTCAATTTCATCATTATCCCTTGCATTTTCAGCACGATAATTTATGTAATAATAATCGACGGAATTCCAATAGGTAGCAGGACGTGCCCAATGCACATAAATTGCATCCTCCGATTGGCAAGTGAGATTAAGAATAACAGGAGAAATTGGTCCAGCAATATCAGTTTTTTGCATAATATGATCCGATGGTTCACCCTCATTTTTCCACGTGAAGGCTTTAACCCATATATTGTATTCGGTGAAAGGAACTGAAAAATAGAAAGAAAAAGTTCAATTTTTTTTTATTCTGATCAAAATGGAATAGAAAACATTTTCTTTTCTATTTGGAAAAAAAATAGAAAACGTTGTTTTTTATTTATTTCTTTATTTAAAGAAGAGAAAACATTTTTTTCAAATTTAAAAAATATAAAAAACGCATTTTTGTTTTACAAATAAAAGAAAACCTTTGTTTCTAATTTAAACAAACAGAAAAATTTTTCTAATTTAAAGACTCCGGAAAAATATTTTTGATTTAGAAAAAAACAGAAAATATTATTTTTTCAATTTAAAAAAAATAGAAAACGTTTTTTTTATTTAAAAAAAAATTTATCTAACAGTAAAATTAGAAAAAAAAATGAAAACGATTTTGAACGATTTTAAATGATTTTAAACGATTTTACCAAGTTTGCATAAATGTTTAGGTAATGTTATATAGAATATTTTCTTATTTCATAATTTGCATCTCTTTTGAAAAAGGAAAAAGAAAGGAAAATTGTGTCCATAATTATTGTAACGGAATTGGTGTAATTTATATATTCCTTATAATATATATATATTCTCGTTATACAAAAGAGACGATCGCAATTTTTAGTGCAACCCAGAAATCGAAAATAATTGCTTCTGACGCATTGGGAGAAAACGTGAAAGCTATTCTCCTCTTTGAAAGATGCAAACTGTAATCAGTCGTAACCCAATAATCAGAACTGTTTTCTCGATAAAAAAAATGCATGTATAGACTTTTTAAAATTTTCATTTCCCGCATAGTAATTATTTAATTACTATAACTATTTTAGATATTATAATTTTTTATTTCTTATTTACATTTATTATTTATATTTATTGTTTATATTTATAAAAAAAATTTATTGAATAATAATTTTTAGGAAAATAAAAATATAAAAAAATTTATTTTACATTTTCTATTAATTTATATAATTTATATTTTTTCACACAAAAATTGATTAAAAAAATACAATTGAAACACTCAAATTTTCTATATTAGAAGATAATTTTTTGGACTAAAAGAAATCGTTCAATATTTCAAGAAAAAAAAATAGAAAATAGAAAATTAAAATTATCAAAAGCAAAATTTTTATTTAAAATAATTAAATTTTTGTTTAAAATTTTTTCTTCTCGACTTGTCTTCTTTTTATGCAGCAAAGCTTCAAAATCATATATTGTTTAATTCAATTATGACTAAAATAATAAATTCGATTGAATTAAATTTTCTATTATTTTAGAACTCTTTAAATTTGAATTATAATTTAATTTTGTTGAATTAGTGACTGACTTTCTAGGTTTTAATTAGTTTAAATTTACTAAAAAATTAGTAAAAAAAAAATTTCTTGTATCAGTAAAATTTAGCTAATTCAAAATTCAAATTAGTAAGATTTTTTACTAATTCAAATTGATAAGAACTTTTTTTACTTCAAATTAATATTAATTTTTATAAATTGAAATTCATGAGAATTTTATAATTAAAATTTAGACGGGAAGAAAAAATAAATGAATTGAAGCTAAGAATTTTTATCAATTTGATTTCAAATTAAAACAATAAATGAATTTTTAAAAACAAATTTTTCAAATAAATTTTTCTAAATTTAAGAAGGAAATATATAACAAAAATTTTCCTTTTGATTTAAGAATACAACAAAATTAAAACTTTAAGTTAGTAAGATTTTTTACTAACTCAATTTAATAAGAACTTTTACTTATTCAAATCAATAAGAATTTTTTCTAATTAAAATTAATTTTCATTTTTACTAACTACAAGTAATTTTAATTTTTAGTAAAATTAAAATTAATTTTAATTTTTACTTATTCGAATTAAGAAAAAATTTTACTAATTCAAATTAATAAGAATTTTTTCTAATTAAAATTAATTTTTATTTTTATTAATTACTAGGTAATAATTTTAATTTTTACTAATAAACATTTAAATAGCAAGAAAAAATACAGTAATTGATGTTAATACATTTTTTTAATGTAAGAAGGAAATTTATAAAAAGAATTTATTTTTTATTTAAAAATAATATAATGAAAGTAAAATTTTTAATTAGTAAGAATTTTTACTCATTCAATTTAATAATAATTGTTACTAATTCAAATTAATAATAATTTTTACAACTTTAAGTTAATAAGAAATTTTTTCTCTGATTCAAATTAGTAAAAAAAAACTAATAAAATTGATGTGTCAGGGAAAAATTAATCAATTTCAGTAAAAAATTTCTTCCAATTCAATTTCAAATTAAATGAATGTACAAATATTTAAAAGAATTTAACTTTATAATTTTATTTTATTAAAACAATTTTTTAAATATTAATTTTGTTACAACTATTGAGAAGGAAATGTGAGAAAAACAATCACTTTCTTTCTATTGAAAAATATAAGGAGAAATTGATAATTAAACAAAAATTGACTTACGAAGTTCGTCGAGGGTGAAATCGATGCTCTTCGGATCTTCATCGGCAATTTTGTGCGTTTTAACATCAGTAAAATTGGAATGCATGTAGTAAATTCGATAGCCTGTTATGACCCCATTCGCGTGCTCAGGTTTGGACCACGATAAATCTATGGTGAAGGATGTAATTCCACGTGCAATAAGATCTAGCGGTTTACTCGGAACTGTAATCAAACGTTTTATTCATAAGATCATGCAGATAACAAACTGCAATATAATATTGTTTTGCAAGTATAGCAAATTCTTGTAGGAATAAGTAATGCGAATTAGAAAATAAAAAAAAAATATTTTTATTGAATTGCGCGCTATATCTTCAATATAGTCATTATTTTCAAATTATGATTGAGGAAAAAAAAAATCTTTGCTGCTTCCATCTTTTCAATTTCGAATTGATGATGATGATTGAATAATTCATCGAGGAAAATTTATTAAACTGAGATTAAAAAATTTAAATTTATTTTTTCTTTTGTTTTACTTATTGTCTATTTATCTATATATTTTTTTTCGTTTTTCTTTTGTTTCTACTTTTCTTTTCTTTGTTGCTTTTTTTCTCTTATTTTTTCTACTCATATTTCTTTTCTTTTCAAATTTTATCTGAGGTATGGCTGCATTGTTTCGTAAATTTTAGAAAACTCTACATTTTAATTAGTAAAAAGTTAATAATTTAGTTTTTTATTTTTACTAATTTAAATCAGTTCATATTTTTATTAATAATTTTAATTAATAAATGACTGTCTACGAATTAATTTTTTTTTGTAGAAAATTAATTATTTGCAGAAGAAATTTTTTTAATATGTATAAGAAATAAAATACAGAGCAAAAAAAAAAATGTATACAAAGAATAGAGAGAAGAAAATTTTGAAACACTGTCGCAGAGGTGAAGTGGCAGTAAGTTTCTTGAATTTTACATTTCTTCCATCTCGCTGTGAATCTTGCCCTTTTTTTCAGCACAAAAGCACTGAAGTTTGCAGAGGTCACACAGTGTAGGCAATATTCTATTCAAGTGACCTCGAGAATTTCCTCAGTGAAGAAATTGAAATCTTTCATAGAGAAGAAGACTCTTCATGGCCCATACAGTACAAACAAAAGTTTTTTCTCTTTTCTTTTCTTCTTTTTTTTTGTTACACAATCATCGTCTAGTCCAAACGATCTTTGTCTTCTTCCGGTGGAAAAAGATTATACACTCCTAATCAGCAATTTTACTTTTCTTTTTCCATCGCAAAAATTTTCAAACAAAAAACTTAACAAAAAATAAAAGAAATAAAAAAATAGATAATATAGGTAATGAATATTATTATTTATATAATAGTAACTTGCATATTTTTTCAATAATCATATCTTGCAAAAAAAAATTAAATTAAAAAGTAGGTAATTTTTATCGTTATCAACTTACACAATTTATTTGCATAATTTTTTTATAAACATTTTTTTAAACATTAACAGAAAATTTGATAGAAAATCTATTGATTCCATTATTCCCAAATTTTTATTGATCTGTAATTTTAAATTTCAAAGTGAAAAATAATTGAAATTTAAGAAAAAAAAAAAACGTTTTTGTTTGTAAAAAAATGAGTTTTTATTAGTTCCGAGATAACAGACTTCATAGTGATGAAGGTACTTTATATGTCCATCCGGTGCTTTCATTAAGTATATCTAAGCATGGCTTTTTGCATGATACATGATTGCGACCTGCAGACTTTATATATTCACTTTGCATTGCCGGTATTATCTAATTCATGCTAATTCTAAATGTCGACGCCCGTCCAATATCAATAATATTGACATATGCCGCATTATTTGCTTCTTCGATTATTTATATTTCTTTTCACTATATTTTCACATTTAGTAGAAAAAATTTTCCAAATGTCGAAAAAATACTGCAAATTATTTTTTTTTATGAAATTTATTTCAAATATTGTAAAATAAATTTTATATTTAAAATAAATTTTAATAAATTCAATAAATTTCATTATATAAATTTCAATAAATTTAATTAAAAAGATGATTGTAAAAATAATTGAATAACAGAAAAACGAAAATAAGAAACGAAAAAATATAGAGAAAAATATTTAATTAATTATTAAGTATTATTTTAATTTAACGTTTAAATAATTAGTGTTGTATTTAATAATAATTGATAATTAAATAAGAAAAATAATAATTGTCAATTAAATAAAATAAGTATAATTAATAAATAAAGAGGAAATAGTTATTAATTAATAAAGAAATTAATTAATAATCAAATAAAGAAAAAATAATAATTGATAATAATTGAATAAAGAAAAAATAATATTTGATAATTGAATAAAGGAAAAATAATAATTCATAATTAAATAAAGGAAAAATAATAATTAACAGTTAAAAAAATAAATAAAAATTAATAATTAAATAAAGAAAATATAATTATTCATGAATAAAAAAAAATAAAAAACAATTTTTAAATAAAGAAAAACCAATATTTGTTCTTGTTAATATTAATTACAGTCAATAAACACTAGAGAAAATGTTGAAAAAAAAATTATGCAGTCAATAAACATCAAAGAAAATTTTCCAAACAACAATTTTCACAGTCAATAAGCCAGTAAAAAAAATTTTCCAATAATTTGAATAAAATTTTTGTTTAATAATTTGAAACGCAATTTTCATATTAAAATTAAGTAAAGAAGAGAATAAAAACTTTTTTTTAGAATCGTGAAAAAAAATTGAGTTTATTCTTTACCCAAGAGACGGAAAACGAGATAAGGACTGAGAAGTTGTCTAACAAACGTGTAGAACATTTACTAAGGCAGAGTGATGGAAGAATGTGAACATCGACATGACTCATTAACTAATTAAATCTTAAATTATTGCAATTGACATTTGAAATGAAAGAAATAACTATACTTTTTGTGTCACATTAATTTTCCTTTTTAAATCAATCATTCCTTATGACTTTTAAACATTAAGTTTTTTTTAAAGTTGAATTTAAAAAAAAATAATTTTTTAATTGATTTTTTTAATTTATTCTTTTTAAGTTGATTTTTTAAAGTTGTCTTTTGAAGTTGTTTTTTAATTTTTTTTTGCATTTTCTTAAAGTTGATTTTTTTTGTTTATTTTCTTAAAGTTGATTTTTTTAAAGTTGTTTTTTAAAGTTGTTTTTTACAGTCATTTTTCAAAGTTCTTTTTTTAAGTGTTTTTTTTAAATTTGATTTTTTGCAAACTGGTTTTTTTTAAACTTGATTTTTCATTTAAAAAAATTGTTTTGGTATTTTAGGTATATATAGACGTCATCCATTTTTTTCTGTTTTTCTTCCTTTTTAAACGTGACTCTACTTTTGATGGTAAAAAATACGTTACACAAAGTCTTTATCAAAGAAAAAGAAAGAAAAAAAAAATTCTTGCTTCGTAAAAAGCGTGCATTCAAAAGTCTTGGGCATTCTTTATATACAATGTTGAGTGTCTAGTCTGCACGAGAAACTTGTATAATAACAAGAAGGTATGTCCAAAAAACTTTTAAAAATAATTGTCACCGAACATTTTCATTTGTCTTTTTCTTCCGTTTCGTTTTTTTAAATATTAAAAAGTCATCATTTTTTTTTCTTTTTTGTACATAAAAATAAACTTCTGCAATTCTTAACTTAAGATAGAAAAAATTATCACTTCTTTGAAATTATTCAGAAAAATTTTATTTTTAATTTTGAAACTATTTTCAAAATTATAAATTATTCCCCAAAAAAGTTATAAATTATTTTTATTAATTAGAAATTATTCAGAAAAAATTATAAACTTTTTCTAAATTACAAACTATTGAGAAAAAATTTTAAACTATTTTTATGAGTTACACATTATTCACCAAAGATTATAAACTATTTTTTTAATTACAAATTATTTGCAAAAAAAAATTGCAAACTATTTTTAGAAATTAAATTTATTGTTCGCAATAAAATAATCAAATTTCGAGAATAAATAAAATTGACAGTTTTTCGATTCAGCAATAAAGAAAATAGTTTGTTAAAAATTTATTATTTTTTTTAAGTTCTTTAGAAAAATATGTTCATCTAAAGAAAAAAAAAATAATTATGAAATAAAATGACTAAAATGATTTCTTTTTACACGTGTGCAAGAAATTGTCTTCCTCCATGTAAGTGTACGTGACATAAGAATAATTTATTTTAGAAAATTACTATGAAAGAAATTGTTTTATTCTTAGCCGCAGAGAATTCGCATGAGATGACCAGAACGTAACTTGATTGAAAAAAAAGAAACATTAGTATTCCAACATAGTGGTAGTGAAAGTTTGTCGGTATTGCATAGCACATATTGTATGGGATAACGATGGACAAGTGAAAGGAAATTGTCAATGAGATTAGCACCGCATATTCCAAAGATCAATTAAGGGAATCATTAGTAATTTTCAGAAGAGCATTTTCTCTTTGATAATTGTTATAATTATATTGATACTTTTCAATTATTCTTCAATTATTGAAATTATTATTTTACAATCATAGTAATGAAAATAATTATAATAATTATTTATTCTATTTATTTTTTATTTCAAATTTCCAATAATGAAAAGTTCAAAAAATTAAAATAATAATAATAATTAATTGATAATTTTGATTATAATTTTTGTAAGGGTTGAAATTGTTAATTATTTGAAGTTTCCTATTTTTTCTTCTTTTTATTTTTTACTCATTGTGTGATTAACTTTTTTTTCTAATCAACTTCTAGATTATTTTTTGCATTATCACTATTATTAGCAGGATTTAATTTGTCACACTTCAGGGAAATTAGAAATTAATTAATAAATAAATAGATGACAAACAAGGAAAGTATTAAATAATCCTTTTTAGAAATTTTATTGAATATTTATGTAATTATTGTACAATAAATAATTAACAAAAAAAGTTGAGTCAACAAACAGAAAATTAAAATAAAAAATTACGAAATTAACAAACAATTAAAAATATGATTTATAATTTTAATTTAATTTCAAAGAAAAAATATCAAAAAATAATTAATTTACAATAAATGAATTATAAAAAAATATTGAGAGAAAAAATGTAAAAAATAAATTTATTTATCAATTTCTTTATTTCCTGCATTACTGAACAATTTAACAATAATATTTTCTGCTGAAAAAAATATTTCCTTCCAGAAAATTGTTCAAGGAAAATTTTTTTTT